TTGTGGACATTTTCTGTGAACGCTCCTTCTCCTGGACAGCCGAGGGTGACCCCACACTGCGTACCTGAAGGAGCCTCATCAAGCCGATGGTCCTGTGAGACCACCACAAGTCAGCCTTTCCTTTCGTGGTGCAGTTTCTGCCTGCCCCCAGCCTCCAGCCCAGGGCTGTGAGTTTACTCTTTTCTGATTACACAGCTAAAGCAAACATGTCTCTCTAATTAGTTAACACCAATAAAAGAGACAAGATAGATACACAGACTAACACATCCCAACTTAATAAGTTCCATAAAAATTCAAACAAGTCATACGGCAGTCGTCTTTCTTATACTACAACCCTCTCTGAAGGCATTATGGTAACGTTTCACTTTTGAGTATCATTATAGCCATGGCCTTTCACAGAGTGAATTTATTCAAATGAACTATATTTCCATGACCAACTTCTGATGCCTGTATTGTTGTGGGTTGGCCAGCACTGGGGGAGACTTTTGATGGTTCCATCATCTTTCCCCTGCTTTCCTGGTATTTCTGAGGGTGGCCTTACTTCCTGGCCACAACAGGACATTCTGGACTGTCCCCCCACTCCAAACTTTTTTTTAATGTTCCGAGGAACCCTGTTTTCCTTTGGTGAAGAAGGTCTTAGAAACCAAAGTCTGGGCACTGGAGTGTCCCTGAGACTTGGGAGTGGCAGACCAAAGGTTGCTGTGGCTTTTGGGCCTCTCTTGGAGAAACAAAGCTGGAAGTACTGATATTTTTAAGGTTTTAAGTTTACAGTCAATTCTTTCAGTCCGTTGTTTTGTTAACAAAGGTTAACAATACTGTTGTTTATCCTATATTGATGGGATTTGGCCATAGTCAGGTCGCTATGACACTGGCAAAAGCCTCCATTCCCAGTAGGGGACAGGAAGCAGATGACAACAGGCAAGGGGACCTAGGAAGGGAAGGATCAGAAGCGACACGTGGCGGTGACTCTTTGGAGAAACCTGGTTGAAGGCGGGAGAGAACTGGAGGTGATGGGGTGAAGGCGGGGACTTTGCTTTACTGTTTTCTTATCTTTTTCATGAAAATGGGAGAGGTTCCATCTTGCTTATAGGTGGAGCAGAAAGTGCTATAGTAAAAATTGTATCAATTAGGATTCTTCTTTGCACAGGGAAAAAGAATCCAGCTCATCTGGTTAAACCAAACTTTATAATGGGGAAGCCGAGGGCCAGTCAGATCAAGCCCGGAGGGCCACAGAGGCTCCAGTGATGTCAAGTTCCGCTGCATGTGTCTTGGCCTCCCTGGGGGATGGGCTCTGTTCTGAGATGGGTCGTCCCTTCATCTGGTGGTGGCGAGGCACCGTAAAGCTCTGGTCTACACAATCCTCACTCCTCGTCCAGAACAAAGAGGGCACACCCAGTGCCCACACAGAAGAAAGAGGATACCCTTCCCTCCCAGAGTTCAACAAGAGTCCCTGGTGGCCAGGCTGTGCTTCCCAGGCAGCACTTTACAGATGGGTAAACTGAGGCCAGAGCAGGGCTGGCACCTGGGTGCTTCCATCCCCGTTATCGCCTCCCCCGAAACTGCCCCGACAGCCAGGCCAGGTCAGCCTAGAAGGGCTTTGGCCCCAGAGTCTGACAAGCGCTCCAATTCTAGTCTCTGCCCGTCTAACATATTGGCTCTGTGAGTTCGGGCCAGTTCCCATCTCAGCGTCAGACTCCTCCCCTGTAAATGAGGCTGATGACAGCATGATCTCAGGATTGTTGTGAGATTAATTAAGCTGCAAGGAGGCAGATTCCCTGGGGATATCAGAGCACAGCCCAAGAGATGGCTCCCAGAAGAAAGCCATTGCCTTCTCAATTCTGGATTTGTTTTTTATTTCTTTACGTTCTCTGCTCAGGTCCAGGGGCAGGTCTCTGCTAGGTGCTGGCCTGTCTTTACTGCCTCTGTATATCTTGTGAATCTCACTTCCTCACAGGGAGAAAGCAGGAGCGGGCTCAGCCCTTCGATAGGCCATGGGGTCCCCAGAGCCTTCGAGCGTTTGCTTTGTTCTCATTTTCACTGTTTCCTTCTATTCTAGGCTAGTGGTAGTGGTGCCTCCTCCAGGGCAGTAATATAAAGTTTCCTTTTAAAATATATTTATTGGAATGAAAAAGCCAATATACAGAAAAAGTATTGTGAATATTACCAGCGGTGAAAGGGTACAGGTTTATCCATTCCACACATGTTGGTTGGGTGCCCAGTTACTGTTCCAGACACCGTTCCAGGAGGGAGTCACAGCAGTGAACAGGTCAGCAGGAACCCCCTGTCCTGTGGAGCTCACATTCTAGGGCAGGGGATTGGCAATAAAATAAATGCCTAAGAGAAACGCGAAGCAGGTCACATGGTGATGCTGATAGGTGTACGGGGGCGGGGGGTGGGGGGAAATCGAGGAGGGAAGGCATCAGGGTGTGAATGGAGGTCAGGGAAGCCTCAGAGAGAAGCTGACATTGAAGCTTGAACCTGAAGGAAGTGACAGAAGTAGCTAAGCAGGTATGTAGTCACGGCTGTTCCAGGCAGACGAGTGGAAAGAACAAAGGCCTTGGAGTGGGTGGGAGCCAGCAGGGAGGCCAGTGTGGCTGGGCAGGGTCTGGCTGATGGAAAAGAAGGGGATGTGGTCAGAGGGCAGAGGTGGGGCTTCTGAGCTCAATGAGGAACCACTGGAGGGGGTGGGGCGGAGGAGGGATGTGATCTGGACCTAGTTCTACCATCATCTCTCTGGCTGCCGTTTGGACAGGGGTTTGGGGGAGGCAGGGATAGAGTGAGAAGAGGTCTCCGCACTCAGCCTGTGGAGGGGCTGCTGGCTTGGACAAGAGGGTGGGGTGAGAAATGTCAGATTCTGGGTATATTTTCAAGGTGGAGCAGATGGGATTTGCTCTTGGAGTGGATGTGGGGTATGCAGATTGTGGGCAGAGAGAGGAATCCAGGTTTAGGGCCTGAGGACCTAGAACGTGGAGTTTTCGTTAACTGAGATGGGGTGGATTCAGGAGGACGGTTTTGGGGGAGATCAGGACGTTGGACGGCATGAGATAAGGGAGGTCTCCGGCACACAGTTAGATACGTGAGTTTAGGCAGAGGTCCAGGCTGCAGGCCACATTTGGTGTCATCCACAGCTAGAAGCCTCCAAAGCCACAGGTTGGGGTGACATTTAGAAGTTGGGGGGCTGCTACAAAAGAGAATGGGGGGTCACCAAGGAGGAAGAGGAGAACCAGGCAATGTGGTGTCTGGGAAGCCAAGAGAAGAAGGTGCATCAGAGGGGAGGAAGTGGGCAGCGGTGAGAAATACTGCTGGAGGGACCAGTAAGACAAAGACAGAGACTCAGCACTGCACCCAGCAACATGAACATCACTGGGGCCCCCAAATGACAGATCTGGGGATTAGTGGGGAGAGGGGCAAGAGCCTGATTACATGGGTTTTAAAGGAGAATGGGGGAGAGAGACTGCAGACAGCCTGGAGAAACAACCCTTGGAGGACTTGCTGTAAAGGGAAGGGGAAAATGAGGCAGCCGTAGCTGGAGGGGGCAGAGGGGCTTCGTAAGAGTGTTTTGTTCTTGTTGTTTTTCCTCTCTGGTTTTAGTTTTAGGATAGAAGAAGTAACAGCGTGTGAGTTGACAGGAATGATTGAGGAGAGGGGAGAGAGGACAGAATCACTGGATCAGTGTTGGCTTGAAGGGTGGGATCTTGTGGACAAGTGGAGGGGGCTTCCGGGCCAGCTGGGCCAGTTCAGCCTGGTCCCCAGAGGGAAGGGGAGGTTGGGCACCATCTCAGGAGGTGGACGGATGGGTGGTGGAAGCTGGTGGGAATTTTCTTCTGAGTCGTTCATTCAACGGCACATACTGAGGCAGACTGTTCCCGGGGCTGGGATGCAGACTGTTCCCGTGGCCTGGGCGCTGGTCATCAGCTGAGTGAGAGGACGGAAGAGGAGGAAGTGAAGACAACACAGCAAGTGTGCAGTGGACCAGGAGGAGAGTGAAGGGGGAAAGGACAGAGCGGCGAAGGTAAAACACTGGGGGATGCAGGCAAAACGTTTAGCACGGGTCACGCTGTGAGGAGGTACAGTAGCGTCAGGCGGGCCCGAGTTCAAATACCGATACTGCCCCTTCTCAGCTGTTTGAAGTTGAGTTACTTAACAGCTCTGAGCCTCGTTTTTCTCACCTGTTAAATAGGGGAAATGGGATTATAAACCCATAGAACAGGCAGCAGGGAGGCACGGCGAGCGCACCATACCTGCTGGCCCGCGGCTTGGTGATGGTCCAGCCCTGGACGCCGGGAGCGGTGAAGATGCAAGGGACCCCCTCAGGGGCGGGGCGGGGCTGACCACGCCCCGGGCCTGAGGGGCGGTGCTCCCGCCCGCCGGGCTCTGGGCACTTCCCTCCCACCGCCTCGCCGACGGCCCGCTGGGACCAGTTGGCCGCCTCCCGGAGCCACGGGAGCCTGAGGTATGAGGGGCTCTGCGGAGGGTGCAGCTGGGCGGGCTCCGGGACACTGACCTGGGGGCTCCCCGGGCACAGGTGGGGAGGAGCGCTCCGAGAAGGAAGGGGAAGGGACAGGGGCTGCGGAGGGGTGGGGAGGGCTCGGCCGCCGCCCGCCCGGGCCACCTGTCCCGGAGGGACCCTTGTGTGCGCACCGACTGGGCGCCCTGGTCCCCCGGCCGCCGCCTCCATCCCAGCTGCGCCCCAAGTTGAGCGCGGCGGCTGGGCCAGGAGCCCGGCCCGCGGAGGGAGGGCGCACCCTGCCCGGGAGCCCTCCGGGCAGCGCCGCCCGGCCCGGGGTCCCTCGGCGGGAGAGAGGGCCCGCGGGGGCGAGAAGCCCGGGTCCGAGTGCGGGCTCCGCCGGCCCGCGCTGCATCCTTGGTCGAGTCACGCCGCTCTGTCTGGGGGCACGGAATCGCCCCGGGAGGCCTCACCGCCCGCTGCGCTCGCCCCTGGCCCGGGAGGGGGCGCCGCTGGGGAGAGGGGTGGGGAGCGGCCGTCTGAAGGGAGACTGCGGGGGATGCGAGGCGTCCCCCCCGGGCCTTTAGGGATGTTGAGGCTTTGGACCGCCGACAAGGGGGAAGGGCTCTCCAGATGGAGGGACGGCCTGGGTAGGATCCGGGAAGCGGGGAAAGTCGGGCCTAAGCGCTCGCTCTCAGGGATCCGGAACCTCAGACCACTCCCTCTTTCGGGCGTGCTTGTCTCCCTCCCTCTCCTCCAGATGGGAAACATTGAGTCCCAGTGGGAGCACTGGTGTGCTTGGGCGAGGCTCTGGCTCGGAGGTCCAGTCGCAGAGTCCACTCCCCTTCGTGCTAGGGGAGTCCCCTGGCCTCAGTTTCCGCATCTGACACCTGCGGGCAGAAGTTCCCACCTCCTCGTCAGACTCAGCTAAGCCTCTAGCTCTGAGAGGGTTAAAAGCCACCCTTCTCTCAGAAGGACACCCTTTTGGTCTCCCCCAAATGCTGAGTGATTGACCGCTCTGTGGAAGCCCCTTGGGGTCTCCGAAATCGATCTGTGCCCTCCTTAAACAAACACCCAGGAACACCTGGTATGCTCCGGCTCTGGCGCTCCCCACCCCCCCGCCCCCGCCCCTGCCTCCACTCCAGCTGTCCAAGGACTTCCCCTTTGTTACCTCCTCCCAATGAAGGAGTCGTCGTCCTGCTCAGGGTGACAAAGCAAGGCCCAGGCTAGCGGGGACTACCCCCTCAGTGCCCACAGCCAGGTCCCCTAGGGGACTCCCCAGATCAGGCCCAAATAAAAACAGGAAAAAAAGAAAAGGAGGGTTGAGATGGAACCCTCTCAGTTGTTCATTTTCCTCCCAAACATGTTTCTAGTGCCTCTGGTGCCCATCCCTCCTTGTCTGCTAGGGTCACGCGATAGATACCAGAGGACAAACACCGAAGTGGAAATTCTGTAAAATGTGTTTTGCTTCCCTGTACCCATCGAAGCCCTATAGCTGCCTAGGCTAGTGGACTTGCTCCTGCTGTGTGCAAGGGTCCCAGGTCCCCAGTGTGTGCAGGGTTGGCAGAATCTTTCAAGGTGACTTACTTGGAACATCAGAAGGTTGTGACTCACCACATTACCTAATCAGCCCCAGCCAGCAGCTCCCAAACCCACGCGGTCATGGCGGTCCAGATCTTCAAGGACCCGGGGCAGCAGGGGATGCAGGTCCCCTCGGGTCTGAGTTGGTACCAGGGCAGAGCGAGACAAGGTGGCTGCCAGGGACATTCTTAACAAGAAGGGGTGGATGAGAAAAGGGAAGCTTGACGTGTGAAAACGGCTCTTCCCCACCACAGCTCGCCCACCCCGCAGCTGCTGCACCTCCAGGTGGGTAGAGGGGATGGTTCCACCTTTGACCTGGCTACCCAGGCTGTGCTCAGGCAGTGCTCTCTGGAATGCACTTCCTTCCAGCCAGGCGCCTCTTAGGTGTGCCCTCACCTCCCGTTGAGCCTTACCCCTTCTCTCCAGATTGGAAGCTCCTGGAGGGAGGAAGCTTGCCTGAAGCCCGGTGCCGGACCTGACACACAGTAGGCATTCACTACATTTTCCTTGAATGAATTAACTGAAAGAAGTAGGGAAAAAATTCCGCATTCACGTCACTTGGATATAACTATTGTTAAAAGTTGCCCTTTTTGCCAGACTTCTTAAAAAACACATTGGTACATATTTGAGTGTCTTGTTTATACAAGCATCTCAAATGCCTCACCTTTCTCAAATTATTTTTTTATATTTTTCAGTGCTTAGATATTGTTACATCTTATTTAGTTAATGGACCTCATTTGACATTTATGTTTTGTTGTTTTTTTTTAAAAATATTTGGCTCTTTTAGATGTTACATTGAGTTCATACATAAATTTATACATTGCCAGATTTTTTTCTGGAAAGGGAATTACTTGGTAGTCACTGGATATGAACCTCTCGGATGGTTATACCTAGAACCAGCAGGCTCTCCAAAGGGACTGTTCCATTGCCCACTTCCTTAGGCTATGAGTGTGCGTTTCTTGTTATTTCCTGGAAATGAAATTACTGGGTGAAAGAGTATGAACATCTAGGATCTTTGTGTGTTTCTTAATCATTTGTTTGAGTTCATCAATGAGATGTTTGCCCCTTGTCTGGTCTCTTTGCGGCAAAGATCTTCTCCCAGGTTGTCATTCGGCTTCTGTTTTTGCTGCTGATGGTGTGTGTATTTGAGCAGCAGTTTTTATTTTACTTTATCTGTGTGTGTGCTTTTCAATAAGGTAGACTTGACTGTACTTACAAGCTGATGGGAAAGAGCCAGAAGAGGGAGTGGCTGCAGCCCCTGGAGAAGGAGGGGCAGGTCGGTAGAATGAGGTCCCAGAGGACGCAGGAGGTGGGAGGGGTCTGGAACTGGTCCAGAGGGATCTTCTGAGCTGATGAGGACAGGAGGTGGGAAGGAGGGGGCTGGGAGGACATCTTATGAATCGGCTCAGATCTTCCTAGAGAAGGAGGTAGAAAAAGCATCAGTGGAAAGAGGGTTCTGCACCCGAGGTCCCCAGCTCCCTGTTGCTGTTTGCCCCCCCATTCCCTTGAGTCCTCCCTGCTTCCCTGGGAGGTAGCAGGTGTTATCACCCCCACTGACAAACTCCAGAGGGAGGGGAAGTGCCTTGCTTAGGGTCAGTCAGCTGATGAATGGCAGGGCTGGATTCAAAGAAGGCTCTCCCTGCACTAACCACATGCCCTTGAGAATCGCTTTCCTCTCCGAGCCTCCATCTCTAGTGGATATCGGAAGCGGTGCCCATCTGACTCTGTCCGGTGCTTGGTGAGTGAGTGTCCCTTCCTCCCCTGTCTACCTCTGTTTGTCTTCTCTCTGGAAAGACCCCAGTGAGTCCAGGGGCTTCCAGCTCCACAGGGCTGGCCACAGGGCTAGGAGGGCCCCTTCCCCTTCCCTTCCTTGTGGGTGCCTGCACAGTCACCCCTGCGCCCACACGCTCACCCAGCAGGAGCACACAGCCTTCTGGATGTCACACCTGTGCAAAGTCTGAGTTGCTGGGTGAACGTGAGAAAATGGGAAAAGAGATCTTTATGTTCTGTGAGCAGGCTCGATTTGAAAGCACAGAAGCCATTGTCCCAGATACAGATAAGGAGCCCAGAGAGGCACCCCTCCCCTCCCAGTTGTCTTAAGTCTTCAATTGCTTCTTCCCACAGGCCTCCAAGGCAATCGCCTGAGTTGAGGGCAGGCTTCCATGAACTGAGCCCCCTCTAGGTGCCAGACGCTTTGTTACCTGGTCTTTTTTAAACCCTCTCAGCCATCCTGTGCTGTCAGCCCCATTTTACAGATGAGGGAACTGGGATTCAGACTCAAGCGCCTCTTCTTTACCACAGTGAGATCTGAGCCCCTGGCCGTGGTGCAGCCCCAGGTGAACTTGGCTCCTTTCACCTGGCAGAGGGTGTTTGAATCCCAGCTGTGCTTCGTTTCCAACTCAAGCTGTAATTGATTATAAGAGGACCTGCCTGGCAGCTAATTGGGAGGATTAAACGAGTTACTGAAGGAAAACTGCTTTGACCTTTGGCTGTGCATGGTAAGCCCTCAGGAAATATACACTCTTGTTATTATTAAACCACATAGCTCCATGCTTGACCGGGAGCTTTTAAAAAATGTTAACTCAGCCACGCCCATCCCTTCCTGCAGTGAGAGGATAGGAAGGTGGGCACGCCCTGACACCGGAGAGAACTTGGACTTTTTAAAACCCTTCCGGAGACAAGTGAATGATCTGTATCTAAAACATTAAATTACATTTCCTTTGACCCAAGCAGCTCATTTCTAGGAGCCAGTCCTATAGAGGTAATTAAGGATGTGTTCAAATATGTAAGTGCTAAGAAACTCACCACAGAGTTGTCTATAAAAGCAAAAAGGAAGAAGCCACATTTCCAGTAGTCAAAGTAGTCAAGATGGGATACAGATGATGAGATACAATGTAGCCCTGGAAAGTTAGGGCATGGAGCTGTGTTTACTGACATAATGGGAAGGCATAGCATATATTTCCAAACAGTTTGCCTGCCAATGCAGGGGGCGCGGGTTTGTGCCCCGGTCCGGGAGGGTCCTGCGTGCCGCGGGGCAGCTGGGCCCGGGAGCCATGGCCGCTGGGCCTGTGCGTCCAGAGCCTGAGCTTCGCGGCGGGAGAGGCCGCAGCGGTGAGAGGCCTGCGTACCGCAAAAAAAAAAAAAAAAAAGAAGAAGTGGGTCTGGTTATGTAACTACCACCACCACCTAGTTTTAGAAGACAGGGGCCCCACATATTTTTAAGTGAAAAATAAAACCAGGTGTAAAACAGTGGGTGTAATAGGATCACTTTTTGTGCGTCTCCTGTCCACAGCTCTGTGTAAACACTGCTCCTTGTGAGTGGAGGCGTCAGAAAAGGACTAGAAAGGGTATAACCAAAATGCTGACATGTCATGTGCCCACACCTCAAGTCTTCAAGATAAAGAGCAAAGCAGGAGGTGTCACTGCAGGGTGGTGACTGGACATCCGCTGCACCTCCACCATGTGCGCGTGCGCGCGCACACACACACACACACACACACACACACACACACACTCTAGAAAGACTGGAAGCCCCACCCCCTGTGATCCCACCGTTGGCGAAGTGTCTGTGCATGCATGCTGTGGAAATACAGAGGCAGTACCCAAAGGTATGAAGAGAACAGGGACAGCAATTGTGGCGGATTCTTGGCAAATGGCTCTCATCTTACCTATGATGGTTAGGAGGTTGCCGGGCAGGGGAAGGTGGAGGGACATTTTGGGAAGAGGGAGGAGCATGTTTCAGAAACTTGGAATTCCCAGTTTGAGCAATAGAGAGGAGTTGGTTTTCCTTTCAAGGTTTTGCCATCGTTTTCAAAGGCATTAAGGGTACCAGATGGCTCTCCTGTATCCCTCACCACTCAACCAGTCATCACGCATTTGTGGTGCGTCTGCTATGTGCCAGGCCCTCCCTAATTTAATGTCATTTACAGTCTCCGGCACGGTGAGCCACATCTGGCTCATTGCCCACTTTCCTCTGATCCCAGTTCACTCCAAGGCCAAATTCACCCTGGCCCCTCCCCAGAGGACTTACCCACCCGCGGGCTCTGAAGGTCTGCCGCTGGTCTAGGCTGTGGGCGAAGCACAGGGTTTGGAGTGAGGGCTGCTTACACACATGCTCCTTTGGAAGGTAGCCACGAGCTCCTACTGTGTGCTGGGGTGTGCAGCACCGGGGACCCAGCCCACGGGCCACAGTGAGTGAGTGCCAAAATCCAGGTGGCTTCCTGGAGGTGGTGGCTCTACTCAACCTAGGTCAGGAGAGACCGAGGAAGGAAGGCCTGAGACTGGGGAGCAGACACTCCTGGGTGGGTGCAAATCCTGCCTCCCACCTTTACTAGCCGGGTAGCCCCTTTCCTCTGTACCTTAGTTTTGTCGTTTGTAAAAGGGGCCACCGTGGTGGACATGAAGACACAGGACGAGCGGTGCTTGGTAGGGTGCCTGACAAGCGGCGTGTTCTTGGCAAGTGGCAAACTTCCTACCTCTTCTGCTCCGGAAGTTCCTGGGCAGGGGAGTGGGGAGGGACATTTTGGGAAGAGGGAAGAGCACGTTGCAGAAGCCTGGAATTCCCAGAGCCTGATGGTTTGAGCAAAATGGCAGATGCCAGCTTGGCTGGTCTGGAGGTCGTGGGCCTGGAGAGGGGCAGCGCTGAGGGGAAGTGCCCGCAAGGTCTCGGTATTGTGGGGTCTGTAGACCTTCTTGGGGCTGAGGCAGGAAGCCAGGGAGGAGGCTGGGGTAGTGGGTCCCCCGACAGAGACAGAGAGACGACGGGGAGAGCTGAGCTGGGCTGTGGCCACGGCACTGACGGGGCAGGGAGAGGCCTGGGGGAATCTGTTCAGAGAAGCTCTCCCCCTCCTTTCCTGTCTACGCTCCCTCTCCCCTGGATTATCACAAGAGTCCCATAACTGCTTTCCTGTTGCCGCACGTCCCCTGGGGTTTAGTCTTAAAAAGCACCCAGATCTTAAAGATTTCTTTAATACATAAGTCACACTAGGGAATTCCCTGGCGGTCCAGTGGTTAGGACTCCGCGCTCTCACTGCCGAGGGCCTGGGTTCAATCCCTGGTCAGGGAACTAGGATCCCACAAGCCGCAGGGTGCCGCAAAAAAAAAAAAAAAAGAAAAAGGCATGAGTCACACTATAAGCCTTTCCTCCTCAAAATCTCCCAAAGGCAGCCCCTCCCTCAAGGGCCCCTCCCCCCCATGGCCCAGTGTCCCCTTGTCCTTCTGGCCTCCTCTCCTGGTGCCCTCATCCTCCCACCTTGCTACTCTGGCAGCACCTCAGGCGCACATGCCTCGGGGCCTTTGCACTCACTGATTTTCCTCCCTGGACACGCTTTCCCCAGACATCCATACAGCGTGTGCCTCGCCTCCTCTGGTCTCTGCACAAATGTCAGCTTTTCAGAGAGGTCATCCCTAACCATTCTGCATAAAGTGACACCCCAGCCCCCAGTCTTCCCAGTCCAGTTTCCCTGAGAGCAAATGTGTGGGTGTCCAGATTCATGGTGTCTTATACCTCCCTGAACTGCGCAGAAAGTGACTCCATCCTGCTCATGAGAAGCTGGCCCCAGGCGGCCTGACCTTCAGCCCAGGGAGGGAGGGATGGCCTCCGGGAAGAGAGGAGGTCCGAGACTTGGAGGCAGCCATACCTGAAGCAAACCCTACTCCGCCTCCCCCGTTTACTAACCATGCTGAGCTGGGAAGGTCACCTTTTCTCTCCTGGGACAGGTGAGTACTCAGGTACTTCAATATTAAGGGACACAGCCTCTGACCTTATTTTGTACCCTCAGATGGAGAGGCAGAACGTACCAATTACACTTTCCAGCAGTTGTAATCTGCACCCGCTCATGGTTTCCAGTTTGCAGATGCCACTCCCCTAGGTTGGTTACCTCATTCGATCCTGGCTTTCTGGGCAGTTTAGGGATCATTTACTCATTCTTTCAAAAAATATGTATTAAGCACCTATTACATGCTAGGGTCTGTGCTGGCCATGTGGGACCAGACTAATGAGTAGAAGTGGCCTTGGTCCCTGCCCGCTGGGAGCAGACATTGTTTTTCATGGTGTCAGTGTCACTGAGTATTTAATCAGTCCCTTCAAGAAAGACCTTGGGTTGTTTCTAAGCGTTTGCAGTTGCAAACAAACCTGTGACCAACACAAATATCACTTATCCGTAGGATAAATTCACAGACTGGGATGGCGTGGCGAAAGGGTACGTGTATGTTTAACTTTGTTTTTTTAATTTTATTTATTTTTCTATGTGTTGGGTCTTTGTTGCTGCACGCGGGCTTTCTCTAGTTATGGCGAGTGGGGGCTACTCTTCGTTGCGGTGCGCGGGCTTCTCATTGCGGTGGCTTTTCTTGTCGTGGAGCACGGGCTCTAGGCGCGTGGGCTTCAGTAGTTGCAGCATGTGGGCTCTAGAGCGCAGGCTCAGTAGTTGTGGCGCACGGGCTTATTTGCTCCGCGGCATGTGGGATCTTCCTGGACCAGGGATTGAGCCTGCGTCCCTTGCATTGGCAGGCGGATTCTTAACCACTGCGCCACCAGGGAAGTCCCACATGTATGTGTAATTTTGATAGAGGTTGTTCACTTGCCCTCTGCCCCTGAAACAGGACCATTTGGCTTGCCTGCCAGCACTGTGCAGGGGATGGGGGGCGGCCTGTTTCCTCACAGCCTTGCCAGAAAAATGTGTTGTCAAAGGTTTGGATTCATGCACATCTTATTTGCTGAGTGTTCTGACTTGCATTTCTCTTACTTACAAAAAGCTCCCCTGTCTTGCTTACCTGTTTAAGCATCATTGTGTGTGTGTGTGTGTGTGTGAACTGTCCTTGGCCCATTTTCTCTTGAATTGTTGGGTTTTTTTCTCCTTGATTTCTGGGATCTCTCTATAACAGAAAAATTAGACTTCTGGGATCTGAGGGACACAGAAGTCATTCCCAAGTTGTCACTTGTATTTTTGACTTTCTTGGTATTTGGCGAAAGGTTTGGGGAAGTTTTGTTTTTTTTTTTCCAAGGAGTCAAGTTTATCCTTTTTTTTTTTTTTTATGGCTTTTGGATTTCGCACATAATTAAGAAAACCTTTCCAACTCTAAGGTTATAAAGGAATTCACCCATGTTTTGTTCGAAACATTTATTATTTTATATTTGGGGTTTATCCTAGGGCACATTCTGAGGTATGAATTCATCTGGTTCTTTTCCCCTAGTGGCTTCTCTGCTTGCCCAACACCTGTATTAAAAGATCCATTTTTGGGGCTTCCCTGGTGGCGCAGTGGTTGAGAGTCTGCCTGCCGATGCGGGGGACACGGGTTCGTGCCCCGGTCCGGGAGGATCCCACGTGCCGCGGAGCGGCTGGGCCCGTGAGCCATGGCCGCTGAGCCTGCGCGTCCGGAGCCTGTGCTCCGCAGCGGGAGAGGCCACAACAGAGAGAGGCCCGCGTACCGCAAAAAAAAAAAAAAAAAAAAAAAAGATCCATTTTTGCTTTACTGATTGGAAACACTGCCCTTACTGGATATGCAAGTACCGTATTATTGGAATGGCCAAAATTTCATTCGGGGTTTTCTGTAACATCTTATGGAAAACCTGAACGAACGTTTTGGCCAATCCAGTATTTCTGTGATTTCTTTTGTTTCATTTGCCCTGTCTGTCCGTGTGCTGAGACTGGTTGTTTTAATTATTGGTACTTTGTGTTGTAATCTCTCTCGTAAAGGCCCGCCCTTCCTCGTGGTCCCTCCTCAGAGCTTTCCTGTAGGTTCTTGCTTGTTTATTTTTCTAGATGAATTTTAGAGTCAACTTGTTGAATTCCAGAATCGCGTGCAATTTATAAATTGGCTTAGAGAAAGTCGACATTTTTATGAAGCTGAATCTTCTATCCAAAAACATAGTGCAACTTTCCACTTGTTCAACTGTATTTTGTGTTGTCAGCGGCTTTAAAATTTTGCTCACATAAATTTTGAACATCTTTTGTTAAGTTTAACCCTGAGTATTGTGGTGGCTGTAGGTGGGAGTCTTTTCTTTCATTATATCTTCTGCTTCTCTCTGCTTGTGTGTGTGTGTGTGTGTGTGTGTGTCTCCTACCACCTTACAGTATTCTTTTGTTAGTAGTAGTTTTTCAATAGTTTCTCTTGACTTTTCCAGGTATACAGCAGTATCATATGAAAATAATAATTGTTTCAACTTTTTCTTTTCAGGTTTGCTTTTTGTTTTTTTTCCTATTCAGTTTTTATAGCTCTAATTTCTTTCTCTTATCAAATTGCTTTGATGAAAACCTCCAGTGCCCGTGATGGTGCTGGGCACCTTTGTTTTTCTCCTGTCTTCAACAGGAGTTCCCTCATGTGTGAAGCTGGGTACTCATACCCCCCTATGAAGCTGGCTCTTGGCTTTGATGGTGATATATATAATTTTGTTAAGGAAGTATCCATTGATTCCTAATTTATCCAGAAAGAGTGTTGGAAATTTTATCAAGTTTTTTTAGCATTTCTGGGGATGACAGTATGATTTTTCTCCTTAGATCTATGGAATAGGATGAATTATATTAATGATATCCTAATATGGAACCACCCTTGCATTCCAAGAATAAACCCCACTTGGTTTTGTTTTGTTTTTATAAATTTATTTATTGTATTTATTTTTGGCTGTGTTGGGTCTTTGTTGCTGTGCGCTGGCTTTCTCTAGTTGCAGAGAGCAGGGGCTACTCTTCGTTGTGGTGTGCGGGCTTCTCATTGCGTTGGCTTCTCTTGTTTCAGAGCACGGGCTCTAGGTACATGGGCTTTGGCAGTTGCAGCACGCGGGCTCAGTAGCAGTGGCTCGCGGGCTCTAGAGCGCAGACTCAGTAATCGTGGCGCCCGGGCTTAGTTGCTCCGCGGAATGTGGGATCTTCCCAGACCAGGGCTCGAACCCACGTGCCCTGCACTGGCAGGCAGATTCTTAACCACTGCACCACCAGGGAAGACCCCGCACTTGGTTTTGATGTTTCGTTCTTTTGATGTGCTGCTGAATTCTATTTGCTTGTCTTAGGATTTTTACCATAATATTCATAAGCAATATCGGTCAGTAGGGTATCTTGTGCAATCTTTGTGAGGTTTTGGTGTCTATGTTATACTTCAAAATTTTTTTTAAGTGTTCCTTCATATATTTTGCTATTTAACACTTTTGAAAGCATTGGAATTTTCTGTTATTTAAGTTTGTAAAATTCCTCTCTAAAAATGTCCTGCCGGTTGCTTTTGTTTCTTAATGATCTTGTGTAATTCTATTTCTTATGTGAAAGTTGGCCTGTCTAGACTATCTGTTCCAGGCACAGGCTTGACTTATTACATTTGTCTAGAAATTATTTTTTTCCGGTTTTAAATTTTATTTGCAAAGTACTATCTTATGATTTAAAAAAAAGTTTTCCTCTGCTTCTTTGGTTACTCTCCCATTTGGCATGTCTCAGTTTGCATTGAGTGCTCTCTCATCCCTTTCACTTTCTGTTTTCCTTAATTCGGTTAATGGTGATTTATATATTTTATTGAATTTTTTCCAAAGAGCCAGTTTTTGGCCCTATTTCTTAGTTCTACTGCTTATCTGCTTCCTAACTTTTTCTACTGTAATCTTTCTTTCCTTATTCTTTCTGTTTATTTGTGGTTCTTTTTCTAACATTTTTAGCCTGGTGCTTGCTTTCTTTCTTTTAAACTGTCCTGTTTTACTTGTCACATGTATTGGAGGCTGTAAATATTCTTTTGAGTATTTCTGCAGCTGTATCGTATAGATTCAGATTCATGATATTTTGATTATGGTTGTTTTCTAGAAATCCTATAAATTCAGTTTGTATTTTCCCTTTTGACTGAAGAATTGTCCAAGAGAGGTTTTTTTTTTTAATTTCCTGACTTTTAAATTAATTTCTAGTCATTCTGCCTTGTGATGATAAAATGTCTGCATTTTTTATGTTTATGGGTGTTGCTAAGGTTTTCAATTTTCATAAATATTCCATCAGCTCTTGAAAAGAAAGTGAATCGAGAGTTTGATACAGAGTAGTACCTTCTGATTATTTTGTAGGTCTTCTGAATTCTTATTTGTGTTTCTTGGGCTGAGAGAGGTGAATTAAAGTCTGTTATTAGTGTGTTTCAATCTAGCTATTCTGATATCCCTGTAGTTTCTTCTTCCTGAAAATTGCTGCAGTGTTTTTGGTGCATATTGTAAATGATACCACTTAGCGTTATAAATGGCCCTTCTTTGTCCCATTCAGTGATGTGTGGCTTTAGCTCCCATTGTCAGATACTAAGATTATGGCCCCAGCTTGGTTTTTGTTTCTATGTGTCTTTAAACCTTTGCTCATTCTTTTACTTGTAACCTTCTAAATCACGTTTTTTGATGTTTGTCTCTCAAGTACAGGATAGAGTTTGGTTTTGCTTGAGATCTAAACTAAAAATCTTTTTCTGTGTAAAGATAAGTGAGTTAAATCTATTTATATTTATTGATATGACTGATGTCTGTTATCCACCCCCACCCCCCCACCCCCCGTGCTGTGAGCGGTATGTGTGTCTGTGTCTTTGTGCATGTGGGAGGGCTATATTCTTTATTCTTTGACTGTGTGGTCTGTTTTCTTTGATTTAAAAATAGTCTGATATTTAGGAAAGCTTGTATTTTTGTTCTAGTGGCTGCATTTATATTTATCCTTTATATAATACTCTTAGGGACTTCCCTGGTGGTCCAGTGGTTGAGAATCCGCCTTCCAATGCAGGGGACGTGGGTTCAATCCATGGTCAGGGATCCCACATGCCGCGGGGCAACTAAGCCCATGCACCGCAACTACGGAGTCTGCACACCACAACTAGAGAGCCCACGTGCCGCAACTACGGAGCTCATATGCTCTGGAGCCCATGTGCCACAGCTAGAGAGAAGACTGCGCGTTGCAAAGAGCCTGCCTGCCGGAACAAAAGATCCCACATGCCGCAACTAAGACCCGATGCAGCCAAAAGATTAAAAAAAAAAAAATAACCTCTTGTTCCTTCTTTCTTTAGATAGTATCTATTATTTGTCTTCTATGAACAACATTAAATTTAACTTGTTTCTTCATCCTCTCCTTTCTCTTGTCACTCCCGTGTTTCAGCTGATACTGTATTGAGTGAGTAAGGCATATATTGTTTCCATCCCAGTGCCTCTGGAAGCTCTCAGTCAGGTGGTGTTCATGACAGTTACCACTTCCTGCACATGCAGTGACATGACAACCTGAAGAGGTGTCCACAGCTCAGAAGAAAATTCTGGAGACAAGAGTGAAGCACTCTTTTAAGAGGTGTTGTATCACCCACACTTGATGGTAAGTGTGGCCAGAAATTAATACATGGTTGTCCCTTGGTATCCACGCAGGGAATTGGTTCTAGGACCCTCACAGCTACCCAAATCCTCAGATGCTCAAGTCCATTGTGTAAACTGGACTTGATGGTACCATGTGGGAAAACACAGACATCAGTGACACCGAGTTGAAGTCATTCAGAAGATTCAGGTCTTACGTGTGGTGAAGTTTCAGGAACACCCTACTAAATTTATTTCACTTATTTTCCTTCTTATGTGTGCACAGGTGTGATAGGTGATTTAAAAATATGACTAAGGGACTTCCGTGGTGGTCCAGTGGTTAAGACTCTGCCCTTCCAATGCAAGGATGCAGGGAGTGAGGGTTTGATCCCTGGCCGGGGAACTAGGATCCCACGTGCTGTGTGGTGCAGCCAAAAATGAAAAAAACAAACGCTAAAAAATCTGACTAAAACATTCTTGCAAAAGAAAAATTCTGCATAATAAGAAAGCAAAGTAACATTGCTTAATTGGCAGCATTTTAATTTCTTAGTGTTATATGACATAATGATGTATCTTATTCGATGCAATATAATTGGGTAGTGTTATCCTTCTCACTATCACCTTTGTACTTTAAATATGCTTAAACTTTTACTAGTTTAGCTTTTACACCTGGCAGTTAAAGATAAGGCAACCACTGAGCTTGTTCTACTTTCTACCTTCTTTCTGCCTGCCCTACCAACTTTTTTAGTTGTATCATTTTTACATTGCCTGACTAGATAACATTGTCATTCCATTATGTCATCCTTATTCCTACCATCTCTTTTTTGGAGGGCTTGCTAAAGTTATTCGAATCACCGTTTGGTTGGCTGTGCTTATTCCTCAGTTTTCCTCATAATACATTATTGCCTAAGTCTTTATATTTTGAAACTATTGGTGTGTAACCTTTATTTTATTTTAATATTTAACATCTTTATTGGAGTATAATTGCTTTACAATGTTCTGTTAGTTTCTGCTGTATAACAAAGTGAATCAGCTATACGTACACATATATCCCCATATTCCCTCCCTCTTGCGTCTCCCTCCCGCCCTCCCTATCCCACCCCTCTAGGTGGTCACAAAGCACCGAGCTGATCTCCCTGTGCTGTGCGGCTGCTTCCCACTAGCTATCTGTTTTACATTTGGTAGCATATGTATGTCCATGCCACTCTCTCACCTCGTCCCAGCTTACCCTTCTCCCTCCCCGTGTCCTCAAGTCCATTCTCTATGTCTGCGTCTTTATTCCTGTCCTGCCCCTAGGTTCATCAGTACCATTTTTTTTTTTTTAGATTCCATATATATGTGTTAGCATACGGTATTTGTTTTTCTCTTTCTGACTGACTTCACTCTGTATGACAGACTCTAGGTCCATCCACCTCACTACAAATAACTCAATTTTGTTTCTTTTTATGGCTGAGTAATATGCCATTGTATATACGTGCCACATCTTTATCCATTCATCTGTCGATGGACACTTAGGTTGCTTCCATGTCCTGGCTATTGCAAATAGTGCTGCAGTGAACATTGTGGTACATGACTCTTTTTGAATTATGGTTTTCTCAGGGTATATACCCAGTAGTGGGATTGCTGAGTCATATGGTAGTTCTGTTTTTAGTTTTTTAAGGAACGTCCATACTGTTCTCCATAGTGGCTATTGGTTGCGCCAGGTCTTAGTTGCAGCAGGTGGGTTCCTTAGTTGCGGCTCGCTGGCTCCTTAGTTGTGGCATGCGAACTCTTAGTTGAGGCATGCATGTGGGATCTAGTTCCCTGACCAGGGATGGAACCCGGACGCCCTGCACTGGGAGCGTGTAGTCTTAACCACTGCGCCACCAGGGAAGTCCCTCTAACCTTTGTATTAAAGAACAGCTTGGCTGTACACTCAGCCCTCCATATCTGTGGATTCCACATTCACAGATTCAACCAACTGTGGGTAGAAAATATTAAAAGGAAAAGAAATTCTAGGACATTCCAAAAAGCAAAACTTGAATTTGCTGCACACATGCAACTATTTATGTAGCATGTTTATCAGTTCTCACCTATCATCCTCATATCTCTTTTTTAAATTTTTATTTGCTTATTTATTTTTTTTTGGCTGCGTTGGGTCTTCGTTGCTGTGCACAGGCTTTCTCTAGCTGCGGCAAGCGGGGGCTACTCTTCGTTGCGGTGCGTGGGCTTCTCGTTGTGGTGGCTTCTCGTTGTGGAGCGTGGGCTCTAGGTGCTTGGGCTTCAGTAGTTGGGGCACGAGGACTCAGTAATTGTGGTGCATGGGCTTAGTTGCTCCGTGGCATGTGGGATCTTCCAGGACCAGGGCTTGAACCCGTGTCCCCTGCATTGGCAGGCGGATTCTCAACCGCTGCGCCACCAGGGAAGTCCCTATCCTCATATCTTGCCATCTCTCTTTCTGTCCATTTCTTCTCCAGTTCTTGTATTTCTGCTTTCTGGTCTTTCTTCAAGCCGGAATTACTCTTCTCAAGGTTTTTATTTTGACTGTTTTAAATCCTGCTGCAATTTTGAATTAGACTTTTTATTTGTTTTGTGGCAATATTTGTATAGTGAATCTTTTTTATACATGAGGGAACATCAGTGTTCCTTTCCCTCTTCACTCACGTAGCTTATTTGTATGGATGTTGTGTTTATGCCTTTAACAATTTTTTTTTCTCTCTATTTGAATGAGTTGAATTTTCCTGGACTAGCAACTAACAGGAGGTTTTGGTGGAAATTGGGAGAGAGGCCAGGATTGTTCTCTAGATTTCTCTGCTGAAAGGCTCCCTCCTCTGTTTTTACATGAACGGATTATTCCTTTAAAATATGGCCTTTGTCTGCATCCACGCTTCTGTTGCCTCTCAGAACCCAACCTGATTCATGAGGCTACTGCCGGGGACTTCCCTGGAGGTCCAGTGGTTAAGACTCTGTACTTACACTGCAGGGGGCATGGGTTCGATCCCTGGTCTGGGAACTAAGATGCCACATGCAGCATGGCATGGCCAAAAAAAATAATAAAATAAAAAAATAAAATAAAACTGCCATTATTTAAAGAACAGAGGCCACTGCCTCCAACCTTGACCCCCGGCTCATTGAGCCCCCGGCTCCTGCCTTGTTCATCTTCCTTTTGTTTATTCATCTAGGTTTTTGGCCGAGCCGGGTCTTAGTTGCAGCGCACGGGATCCATAGCTGCGGCACGTGGGATCTAGTTCCCTGACCAGGGATCGAACCTGGGCCCCCTGCATTGGGAGCGCGGATTCTTAGCCACTGGACCACCAGGGAAGTCTCCCTCTTCCTTTATTTCTGCAATCTTGCGCTACTGGGCGCCCCCTGCGCCCCGTTCTTCCCCCCCCCCCCCCCCACTCACTGCTGTATCTGCTGGCCTCATGTGCTTTGTGCCACACTTACATGTAACTTGGAGTTGAGGGGTTTTTCCTGCTCCTGATTTCCCTAATGTTGTAGCTTGTGTTTTATTTTTTCTTTGCCCTGTCGCTCTGTCTGACATCAGTAGAAGAGGGAAGATTCAGAACTAAGAATCTGCCTTATTCCTATTGGAAAAAGAGGTCTCCACCTCTCTAATTTTTCTGTTTGTATATCCCCCAAAGAGCAAGCCATTGTCTGCTTGATTTCTGACTTTGGAATACCTTACAGGCTTTGGAGGGAGAACATTTTATAACCTCTGCTCTGAAAACAGCCACTTTTTTTTTTTTAATAAGTTTATTTATTTTATTTTATTTTTATTTTTGGCTGCGTTGGGTCCTCGTTGCTGCACACGGGCCCTCTCTAGCTGCCACGAGCGGGGCCTACTCTTCGCTGCAGTGCGTGGGCTTCCCATTGCAGTGGCTTCTCTCGTTGCGGAGCACAGGCTGTAGTTATACAGGCTTCAGTAGTTGCGGCACGCAGGCTCAGTAGTTGTGGCTCGCAGGCTCTAGAGCACAGGCTCAGTAGTTGTGGCACACGGGCTTAGCTGCTCTGCAGCATGTGGGATCTTCCCGGACCAGGGCTCGAACCCGTATCCCCTGCATTGGCAGGTGGATTCCCAACCACTGCGCCACCAGGGAAGCCCCAAAACAGCCACTTTTACAAGGATCACTGACATCTAGTAACTGTCACTCTTAATTCTTGAGCAGAAATCATTTATTTATGCCCTGAAAGAGCGGGGGTAGACAGGACAGCAGACCCTTCAAGTAGGGTTTGGAAGCTCTAAGTATTGATTTTTCACACCCAGGAGGGTCTGAGTTCTAAGACCAAAGAGCCCACCCCCCTTAGCTTTGTGGATGAAAAGGATATGGGGCAGGCACAGGCCCAAGGTCACATAGCCAATTAGTGGCAGAACAGAAGCTGTCAGGAGGGACCTGGGTTTGAATTCTATGCTCCATTTCCTGGCCCGGTGACCTTCCCCTGGATACCTCAATGTATAGCCTCAGGTATCTTATCAAAATGTTAACTTATCAAGGAAGTTGATCAGCACATGCCCTGTGTCCCCACCATTAGAACGTTTGGTTAGCTTTGTTCTCCCCTCCTCATTGTGCAGAAGGAATCTGAGGCCCAGAAAGGGAAAGTAATTTGCCTAAGGTCACACAGCAAATTCAGCAGGGTTGGGTAGACCTGGAAGCAGACTCCAGCCCCAGTGCCACTAGCCATGGTCCCTTGGACAAGTCACCTAAATTTTCTGAAAGTTAAACAGGGGAGCGGGGGCTGCGATTAGCTGGAATAATAGCTGCACCCCTCACTGGTGGTCAGGCTGAACTGAGAAACACACTGACCCCAGCTAAAGCCGGGCCAGGGCCTCCTGACCCCATGAGATGCTTCCTCATCGAGCAGAAGGATGCAGCAGGCTCCCTGTCTCCTCTGTCACCCACTGCATCGCCCCTGGGTCCCCAGCCCCAAACCTCCCAGTACATAATTAATCCTGGTTTCTTCGGCTTGGCATGGGGCACAGGTGCCAGCTGGGGCCTTCGTGTCCCTCGCTCGGGGAGCAGCTTACTTGGGGCGAGGGGAGAGGCAGCTGCCCCTCCAGGTCCTTTCCATCCTGTCAACCTGGTCTCTGGCCGCTGTCTCTCTCTGTGTCTTTCCATTGCAACTCTGCCCCCGATGTGGTGTCGTGGGATCAGGAACCAAACAAAGGCATCGCAGGGTTGGCTGAGAGGGAGAGAGATGGAGGGAGAGACAGACAGACAGACCTGGAGGGGCAACAGGGAGAGGAAGAGGTGTGAGGGACCGAGAGAGAGACCAGGGACAGAAAGCAGGAAGAGAGGTCGAGACGGGGTGGGGTTAGGGCACTGATTAATTGCTGATTGATTGACTGATTGGAGAAATCTTCAGAAGGTGTGATCATTTGCTTTGAGGCTCTCCTCTCCTCTCAGGTTGGGGTCCACCCTCCATTTCAGAGGACAGGGTCCCATCAGCTGCTATCTCCTCAGTCCTGTGGGCCTCCAGGAAGAGAAGGACCCTCTGGCAGTGCCTCTTCTGCCCTTCCTATGCATATCTGCCCACAGGCTTTGGTTTCCAAACTGCCCCCCGCCCCCCAACCAACAGCAGAACCAGCAAGGTCCAAGTGCAGGTAGAAGTGCACACAGTACCTAGGGCAGACACTGCGCGCCCCTTCCACCGGTGAGGAAACTGAGGCCCCTGGCATTACGTGACCTGTCCCAGAAGTAGAGGACAGGCAGTTGCCTGCATCCCCTGAGGCCACATCCAGAGCTGGTTCCCAGCCTCCAGGGCCCGTGGGAGGGAAACACTGGAGAATTCACAACCCCGATATCCAGTCGCACCTGTGCTGGTGTGAGAGCTGGGTTCTAGTCCCGCCTCGGCTGTGATTCTGTGTGGGTTTGAGCATATCTGAGCCTCAATTTCACCCCCTCTAGCATGAGAGCTTGGGCAGGTTGTCTCTAGTTTGGGATAGCTCGCGGCTCCTAAACGCAGTTACTGCCAGAGGGCTTTTGTCTTGTGTTCACTTGGTCCTGTGCACGTCCTCTCCCGGTGAGCAGGTCACCAGCATCCATGGCACCTTCTAATCTCCGAAGGTAGAGGGTGGGGCCGGGCACTGCGGCTGGAGGAACACGACACAGGCAGTAGCCAGACCTGAATCACGGGGCCACCCCAGAGTTGGGAGTGGACTCTGTGGGGCAGGGGTGGTTCCCCAAAGGAAATTGGGGTGCTGTTATCAGAAGTGGGAATGAGGACTTCCCTGGCGGTCCAGTGGTTAAGACTTTGCCTTCCAAGGCAGGGGGTGCGGGTTCGATCCCTGGTCGGGGAGCTAAGATCCCACATGCCTCCCGGCCAAAAAACCGGAACATAAAACAGAAGCAATATTGTAACAAATTCAGTAAAGACTTTAAAAATGGTCCACATCAAAAAAAAAAAAGAAAAAGAAAAAGAAAAACTTAAAAAAAAAAAAAGAAGTGGGACTGGATGGTGGGCAAGCAAAACCAGCAGACCGCCTCCCCATCTCCCCTGGGAACCCCAGTTACACGTGACTTACAACCCTTTTCTCCTGCCCTGGGCGGGACACAGGAGCCCACCTAGGGTCAGGGGTGGAGCGCCCCTGCTGTGGGGCAGAGGTGGGTGCAGGCCATGAAGGGGTGATGAGCGCCCAGTACGGGAGCCTTTTCTAGGCGCCTGAGCCTGGCCCCTGTGCTCCCAAAGTGGGGTCCACAGAGCTGGTGCCGAGGGCCAGGTCAACAGGGCTCTGGCCAGACCTTTAGCCCTCTGTCTCCACCAGCCATGCCCTTACTTCCAACCTGAGATGGATCACAGGGGATCTTGATGACAGGGAGTCACAGAAGGAGTTAGAGCAGAGATGTGACCACAGTTCTGTGCTAACTGGGAATGGCCTCCCCAGTGCAGGGCTAGAAGTGGTAGGCAGGGAGACAGGACGTGGCAGGAACATGCCAGGCTCAACTGACAAAGGCCAGGACTTGGGCTGCAGCTGGGAGGCCCATTTAGGGGACCAGGAGAATGCTTTGGGCCTGAGGTCACACGGGTATTGGGCTGCGGCCAACTTAGCCCCATACACAGTTTCTATTCCCGGGTCTTGGGCTCCAGCACCAAATACGGTGCTGCTGGCGTCTGTCCCCCTCAACCACGGTCGGCCAGGGCTCCCGCCTCCCTGACAGCCTGCTACTGCCCACACACTGGCAGAGCCAGGTCACTCCTGCGCTGTGCACTCATCGGTGTGGTTCATAGTGGATTAAAAATACTCAGGACCGAAATAGCCTCTCTCCCTGCAGGGGAAAACCAGGGCCAGGGGAACACAAGGTTCTTGGTTTACATCATGGCTCTGCCACTCACGACCCTGGCTGCGGGATCCCAGGCAGCTCACCCTCCCTGTGACCCGCAGTTTCCTCACTCACATGCTTACTGGCTCATTTCATGACTCGCTGATTCGCTAACTCATTCATTTTTTCATTCATTAATTCTCTGATCACTCATAAATCTGCTCACTCCTTCATTCACTCACTTGGTCCACACGCTGAGACACTCACTCACTCAATATTTATTTACTACATACCAAGACCCAGGCACTATTCTGGAGGCTAAACAAAACACACCAAACACAAAAAACGACCTGTCCTAAGGTTATGTTCCAAATAAATAACCCAAACAAACAAGTACAAAAACGTACAGTATGTTAGCATAAGTACTAGGGAGAATAAACTAAAGGGGGAGGCTATGAAGTGGTGGGGGAGCTGGAGTCTTGGAGGGGCTGGGGAGGGCCCGTGGGAAGATGATTCTTGAGTGAAGACCAAAGGGAGATGAAGGAATGAGCCGTGTGAACACCTGCAGGAAGAGCGTTCCAAGCAGAGGGAACGGCAGGTGCGGAGGCCCTGGGACAGCAGCGTGGGGGGATGGGTTTGAAAGAGCAAGGAGGCCAGGCGGTGATGGGGAGAGAAGTGGGTGTGAGGTCAGGGTATGGGGACACGCAGCACCTCGTGGACTGGGCCTCCCACGTCACTCAGGGTCTGAGCAGAGGAGCTACCTGGCCGGACTTGTGGGTTTTTTTATTTTTTTTGTTTTTTGTTTTCTTTTTGTGGTATGCAGGCCTCTCGCTGCTGTGGTCTCTCCCGTTGCGGAGCACAGGCTCCGGACGCGCAGGCTCAGCGGCCATGGCTCACGGACCCAGCCGCTCCGCGGCATGTGGGATCTTCCCGGACCGGGGCACGAACCCGTGTCCCCTGCGCTGGCAGGCGGACTCTCAAACACTGCGCCACCAGGGAAGCCCCCGACTCGTGTTTTTAAAGCGGCCCTCTGGCTGCTGAGTGAGTGAATCAGACAGCGAGTCCGTTTCCTGTGTGGCTGCTGTGTCCCGGGCACTGAGCCGGGTCCTGGGGAGAGAGGTGTGCAGGCCCCCACGGCGCTCATGGAGGCCCATCTGGCTAATTCCCTTCTCGTCCAGCCACCTTCTCCCGCTCTGCTGGTCCCTGTGCTCCATTCAGCCATCATCTAGTTTATTGTCCTTGTCTCTCTCCAAATGGTCTCCCCTTAGGCTGAGCGCTCCTCCAGGGCAGGGCTGCACCTAACTCTTCTCTTCTCACAAGCATGTTCCCTAAGGGGCCGAGGGGCCCAGAGAGTGGAGGAATCAATGAACAGCAGAGCCGCAGGCCCAGCCTGCCCGGCCTCACTCTGTCTCTCGCCATCTTTTGCAGATGGATTTGCGGGCATGGAGAGCGTGTGGAAGGACCGAGTCCTTGTTGGCAGAGGAGGTTGGCTGCTGAGCCAGGGCGTGTCTCCAGGAGGCCTTCCAGGCTGCCTGGATCCCCACCTCGCCACCATGGGCCGGCCAGGCTGGTCAGTTTCCAGCCCATGACGTGGTCACGGTTCCCTGCCGCAGCCTTGGGGAGCAAGTCGCGGGCTCCCGGCACCACCCTCGGGCCGCAAGACGCCTCTGTCCTGGGAGGGGTAGACTCCGGCCCCCCTGGGCCCCCAGGCTGCACCCAGTCCCCCACCGCTTTGCACCCAAGCTTTCTGGCCTCTGAAGGGGTAACTGTGCAGCTGTCCCCTGGGGTTACAGTAAATGGCGGCCAGGACTCTCTTAATAGCGAGCACTGTCCAGGTCAGTGTGTACTGAGTCCCCAGGTGCCAGGAGCATTCACACGTGGCAAGCTCTGTCTGCCGGGCAGGATGGCGTAGTGGAGAGAACACAGACTTTGGAGCCAGGCGGCCTGGGTTCAAATCCCGCCCTGCCACTTGCTGGCCAGAGGAGTCTGCATGAGTTACCAGACTTCCGTGCCTCAGTTTCCTCACCACAGGGTGGCTGCGAGTGTCTAATGAGTTAATATGTGTGAAATGCTGAGAAGGTTGCCTGACACGTGCATGGTGGGTAGTCAGTATTCACTGAATGAATGAATATAACCCTCGCTCCAGTATTACCGTCTTGCTGCTGGTTCAGGCAGACCTGGGGCCCCTCATGTCCCAGGCATTCACACAGTCCCACCGCAAGCCTCTCTTGTTCCTCCCGGCCTCTTGCAAGGCGCCCGAGAATGTTCCTGCTCCTGGCCAGCAGCAGCCTGGGCATCACGAGAGAATGAGAGTCCAAGGGCAGTGGCACTAGTCAAGTCACAGACTATATATAGCACAACCTCCCTGTCCCTTTCCCTCTAGGCAGGGGCTGGGGAAGCCAGGGGCCCAGGACACCCCGTCATGTCTTGCCCAAGGGCTTCAGGACCCGGCCAGCATGCCCACGTGCCTAGGGTCCACCCGGCCTGCGCCTGAGCGAGCTTGGCTGCCAGCACCCAGGCCCCCCAGAGCCCCAGGCCTCCTGCTAAAAGTCCCTGTGGCTGCTGGCATTTCTTCCTCTTGGACCAGCTCTAGGCCCGGCTGGTGGAACTGAATGGGACCTAGAGGTGCATGCACTGGGCCTCAGATCATAGGCTACCAGCCTGGTAGTTCAAAGGGGACAGGCCTTGCCAGGCCGAGAGGCCAGACCCTGCCCTGGGCCCACGTTGGCCGCACGTCGTAGGTGGTGCTGGCCCAGCCCTTGGGGAGCTCACAGGTATGTCACAGAGTGAAAGGGACCCTGCTCAGACCTCAGTCCATGGCCCGCTGCCCCCATTTTACAGATGAGGACGGAGGTGGCGCTCTGACCACCTGGCAGGCCCGTGGGCTCTGGAAGCCGGCGCCGGCTGTGGCTGGGTTTGTAGGAAGTGTCTTTCTTGGGTCAGGGGTGCCAGTGGCCGGCCCGAATGCGGTGCTCTTCTCTTACAGACCAGCCAGTTCCTGCTGGAGTCTCCTGATATCATCTGGGGAGATGACATCCAGGCCCCCCGACTGCCTACTGCAGCTGCTCCGGGGTGCCCAGAGGCAGTGGGTCTGCACCCTGTTCATCATCGGCTTCAAGTGCATGTTTTTGGTCTCCGTCATGGTCTACTGGCACATTGTGGGAGAGCCCGGGGACCAAGGACAGTTCTCTAACCTGCCTGCTGACGTACCCTGCCCGCACTTGGTCCCGCACACACCGCCCTCCAGCACCCCACCTCCCGGCAACATCTTCTTCCTGGAGACTTCTGACCGGACGGACCCCAACTTCCTGTTCATGTGCTCCGTGGAGTCAGCAGCCAGGGCCCAGCCTGAGTCCCGGGTGGCGGTCCTGATGAAGGGGCTGCCCGGCGGGAACGCCTCCTTGCCCCGGCACCTGGGCCTCTCGCTTCTGGGCTGCTTCCCCAACGTCCAGATGCTCCCGCTGGACCTGGAGGAGCTGTTTCGGGACACGCCCCTGGCAGCCTGGTACACGGCCCTGCAGCAGCGGTGGGAGCCCTACGTGCTGCCTGTGCTCTCCGATGCCTCCAGGATTGCGCTCATGTGGAAGTTTGGAGGCATCTACCTGGACACGGACTTCATCGTCCTCAAGAACCTGGGGAACCTGACCAACGCGCTGGGCACCCAGTCCCGCTATGTCCTCAACGGCGCCTTCCTGGCCTTCGAGCGCCACCACGAGTTCATGGCGCTGTGCATGCGTGACTTCGTGGCCCACTACAACGGCTGGATCTGGGGCCACCAGGGCCCGCAGCTGCTCACGCGGGTCTTCAAGAAGTGGTGCTCCATCCGCAGCCTGGGCGAGAGCCACACCTGCCGCGGCGTCACCACCCTGCCCTACGAGGCGTTCTACCCCATCCCCTGGCAGAACTGGAAGAAGTACTTCGAAGACGTCAGCCCCGAGGAGCTGTCCCGGCTGCTCAATGCCACCTATGCTGTCCACGTGTGGAACAAGAAGAGCCAGGGCACGCGCTTCAAGGCCACTTCCAGGGCACTGCTGGCCCAGCTCCATGCCCGCTACTGCCCCACGACGCACAAGGTCATGAAGCTTTACTTGTGAGGGGCCTGCCTGCCTGGCTCCCTCCCTGCGCCCGGCGTTTGGAAGGAAAGGGCTCGGCCCCCCTTCCTGGGGAGACCGGAGCTGCTGCAGCGCGGGATCTGGGGCAGGCAGCAGGGAGGGCGGGGAACTGTCGGCCCAAGAGCTGTTACTGGAAGGCGTGCTGCTCCCTTCAAGCTAGCAGGAGGCTGGTGGGGTCTTGCAGACAGCAGGCAAGCCTGGCAAGTGTGAAAGCATCTTCCAGGGCAGCGCGGGAAGCAGGCAGGCTGGGGCTGAAATGCCCACGAGGGGAGCACAGAGAAGCCCAAGGAAAGGGGCTGGGAAGGACGGAGAGGAGGCCGCTTGTGGGGTAGCCGGGATGCACACCCAGCTTCGTGAGCCCAAGTGGGGGCTGCTTCTGGGGTTTGGGTTTCTTTTCCAGGGGGGCCGAGGCCGGCAGAGCCGGCCTGGGGAGCTCTTTGGGGGAGGGCCTGCCTGCCCACCTCATCCTTCTTTCCAGAAATGTTGCAGGAGTGACATGTGCCAGCTGCCCACTCACAGGCAGGGGCCCTGGAGTTCTTGTGGCTCAGGAAAAGCATTTTAAAGGAAACACCCCCTACCCGGCCCGCGATAAACACAATAAAAGTGAGAATAATAAATACAGTAAAGGCGACTCCCCAGCATCTAGTGCTTTTTGCTTGATGATACAAATCCATTCGCACCGTGAGCCCCACCCTGCGGCTGAGGAGGCAGCTGGGGCTGTCGGCGGTGGGGGGGGGGGACGTGCCTGAGGTCACGCAGCCTGCCTAGGTCGGGGGGCCCGGGGACCTGGCCACTGGGCAGGCTCACAGCCGCGGTGCGGGAGAGCGACTGCGGTAGGGAATGGGAGAAGCCTGCTTCCCGCCTCACTTTTCAGGGCTCACAGACAGCCTCAGTCAGGCCTCATGCCCACCCCCACCCCATCATGCGCCTGAATCTGTTCTAAACTGAGCCAAATAAGGAGCCCACCACCAGCCTGGGGGCACGTACCTCCCAGCTTAGAGGAGGCCCAGGCAGGGCCTCACGACGCACAAGGCCCTGAAGCTTTGCCGGGAGCTGCTGCTGGCGGAATCCAGAGGCCTCAACACCTCCCCGGGGGCGGGGGGGTGGGGGGTGTGAGGCCTCTGGGGTCTCTCCCGCCTCACCCTGGCTGTCTGGCTGAGAACCTAGGAGAGACAGAAGTACCATGCTGGCAGCCCCAGGGATGGGCAGAGGAAGATCTGCTCCTTGCAGGGTGAGGCCCCAGCTGGTCTGTGTTGAGGACGGAAGCTGCCTGTAAGAGCTGGACGTTCCGCCGGGCTGGAGAGACCCTCCCTGTAGGAAGCTAGGATGGGGGATGCTGTCAGGAACTCTGGGGCTCAGCGGGCTGCTCTGTGGCAGCTGAGCGGGAGGTGTTCAGAGGCCTCTGGATTCTGCCAGCAGAAGGTCTCGGGCAGGACTGCCCTGGTGGCGCAGTGGTTAAGAATCCGCTTGCCGGGCTTCCCTGGTGGCGCGGTGGTTGAGAGTCCGCCTGCCGATGCAGGGGACACGGGTTCGTGCCCCGGTCCGGGAGGATCCCACATGCCGCGGAGCGGCTGGGCCCCTGAGCCATGGCCGCTGAGCCTGCGCGTCCGGAGCCTGTGCTCCGCAACGGGAGAGGCCACAGCAGTGAGAGGCCCACGTACCGCAAAAAAAAAAAAAAAAATCTGCTTGCCAACCCAGGGGACACGGGTTTGAGCCCTGGCTCGGGAAGATCACACATGCCACAGAGCAACTAAGCCTATGCGCCACAACTACTGAGCCCTGCGCTCTAGAGACCGCGAGACACAACTACTGAGCCCGCGCGCCACGACTACTGAAGCTTGCGCGCCTAGAGCCTATGCTCCGCAACAAGAGAAGCCACGACAATGAGAAGCCCGCGCACCACAACAAAGACCCAGCACAGCCAAAAAAATAATAAAATTAATTAATTAATTATTTTAAAAAGGTCTTGGGCAGCCTGGTAGGGAGGTGAGATCCATGGCTTTAGGGGTATTCAAGAGCAGGTAATGTTTTTGATGAAAACCATGAATACTGTGTCAGTTATTTCTCCAACCGCAACATCACCTCACCTATCTTTTAAAATTTTTTTAGAATGAGTAGGTTTTACTTTAATAATACAAACAATCTCTCTCTCTCTCTCTCTCTCTCTCTCTCTCTCTATATATATATATATATATATATATAGTCGAGCAAGTGGGATGACCTCTTAGTGTGAAACATTGTTTTTGTTTTTTTTTATAAATGTATTTATTTTTGGCTGCATTGGGTCTTCGTTGCTGTGCTCGGGCTTTCTCTAATTGCGGCGAGCGGGGGCTACTCTTTGCGGTGCACAGGCTTCTCATTGCGGTAGCTTCTCTTGTTGCAGAGCACAGGCTCTAGGTGCACGGGCTTCAGTAGTTGCAGCATGCGGGCACAGTAGTTGTGGCTCGAGGGCTCTAGAGCACAGGCTCAGTAGTTGTGGCTCACGGGCTTAGTTGTTCCACGGCATGTCAGATATTCCCGGATCAGGGCTCAAACCCATGTCCCCTGCATTGGCAGGCGGATTCTTAACCACTGTGCCACCAGGGAAGTCCCGAAGCATTGTTTAGTCACTTGGCCATCATATCACGAGTGCCTACTAAGTGGTCACGTACAGAGATGAAACAGACATGTCACTCCCTCACCCTAAACTCTTCCATGGCTCCCTGTTGCCTAGAGAACAAAGCCGAACTCCTGGGCCCAGCATTCAAGACCCTCCATAATCTGGCCCAGCCTCTCTTTCCAGCCTTGAGCATTGCCTTCCATTGGCATTAAACCACATTCTTGACTCCCGTCCCCACCCTAATGGCCATGTGTTGGTGTTCTCTATGCTGCTTGCCTGCAGTGCCTTCCAAGCACCTTCACCAACAAACTCCTGTTCTTTTCCATAAGGCTGAGGTCCCCTCTAGGAAGCCTTCCCTGACTGCCCCCTCCTCCACCCCCACAGCTTTCAGGCATCCTCCATGACCATTGGAGTCTTGGCTCGTCCCTCCAAAGGTGTGAAGGGCAGAGCCATGTCAAGCCTCTCTCAGGGTCTTTCCTGAGGTTGGGCTCAGGCTCATGGCAGGGGGACATCCATGTGGCTTTGCAGAGGCCTCAAGAAGTTCCCATGAGTCCATGCAGAGCTGAGGGCCCAGAGGGACCAGCTCTGTACCCCTCTCTCTGGGAGCATCAGTTAGGGATCCCTGGACCCTCGGCCACCCTGGACACCTTCTAACCCAAAGAATCAGGCCGGGCCAGAGCAGCTTCAGCCAGCTCTGCAGGAGTGCAGGTGTACAGGCCTTCTCAGAGGACCCCACCCTGGCATGGTGGTCAGGGCCCTCCAAGGATGGGAGAACGCTCAGATGTTCCTGGCATCCTTGTCTCCGAGAAGGTGGGCAGGGAGGGACAGAGAGGGGACACAGAGGTTTGGGGTTGACTTTTTTCTCTTTCACATTCTAGTAAGGACCCTCCATGCATTGGCCAGGATGGTTGTGGGCTGTACCTCGCTGAGCCCTCCCCTCACTAAGGCTGCCCCACACCCAGCCTCTTAATGCAGCAAGCTCTACACCAGGCAGGATCCACCAGCCAGAAATAACAGGAGCATCCTCGAGGGTGGGTACAGGCGGAGCCGAGGTAACAGGAGAAAGGCTGATTCATCTCCAGGCTGTGAGGCCAGACGGTGCCCCTTGCTGCCCTCACCCCCTAGCCTGGAGGCCCCCAGCCTCGCCTGTCCTGGTGCTGTGTTCTGGTACCTCCTCTGGGCTGGGAGGAACCGTCCTAATGCCCAGGGCAGGGCAGGGCAGGGGGGCCCAAAGGTCACCCTTCCCTGCTTCCTGGCCCTGGCCAGAGCTGTACCTGTGGCCTCTTTTGCAAAGAGAAGACAGACGGTACCCACTCCTAGCCTGCTTGTGACGATCACATGAGCCAGCACAGCGCCTTGGCATGGAGCACGTTATATACAACACACCTCCGTTTCTACGTGGGGAAACAGGCTCAGCCAGTGCTGTGATTTGAACCCAGGCCTTGGCTGTCCTAAGGAAAGAGCTCAGGGCAGGAAGGAGGCTGGCTGGGGGGCTAGAGAGGGCTCTAGTGCCAGCCTGGGGCGGGAGCTTGTAATCCTCACCACCTCCTTTGTGCAACGCCCACGGACCGGAGCCCAGAGCCCTCCCTGGGCCCCTCTGCCTGGACCAGACACCCTGTGCTTCCTTCTGCCCCATCCCAAGTTCACAGTCAGCCTGATGCCTGGCAGCCTCAGGCTGCCCACCCCACGCCCCACCCCCACCTTTGGAGTAGGACTGGAACATTTGTTGGGCATTTGTTCTTAAGTTCTGGGAAAGGAGAAGGAAGGGAGGGGCGGGCTTCGGGGAAGGCTGCCCTGGGGACAGTAATCAGATCCTGGGAACCATGTGATTTGTTTCTGGCAGATGTGTTTAGAGATGTTTTTGTCCGGAGGCTGGGGAAGAAGATGAGGACCCATTCCTTTATTGGGGGGCAGCAAGTGGCGCAGCAGGAGCACAAGGCAGGTTTGCTATCAGTTATTTAATGAACCTTCCTGGCTGGCCAGGCACAGGCGAGCAAGGCAGTAGCTTTTCCAGCAGCTCTGGGGTGGGGGAATGATTCCCCCTTGCTGCTGTATCAATATTCAGCTTCTTGTTTACATGTTCAGTTGGAATGTCCTCTATCTGAGAACGAGGATGAGGTAACTTAGGACCATATTCCTGGAAGTCTGGTTTCATGGTTTACTTGTTCCTAAATCTGTTTGTCCTAAAGTGGACCAGCCAGTGCAAGGCATGCTGGGAAGTTTGCTGTGAGGTGGAGGGGTCAGGACTGGACACGGCTTCGGGGCCTGACAACTGACTGTGGACTCAAGTGTGATGTAGGCTCTGCGGTGGGGTGTGGGGAGGGCATCTACCTCCCTGGGCCGGAAGCAGCAGCGGGAGGGAACCAAGGTGGTGGGTGGGACTGAACTCAGTGGGGCGGGGGGAGGAGACACCCCCAAACAGGAAGACGTTCCTTGTAGCCACATAGTCCACCGTCAGTGAAAATCAGAACACAGCCCCAGCCCCCATCAACTTCCAAGGAGAGAAAATGCAGAGAGGAAGTCCTGGCTGCTAGAAACAACTCAGGTGGCTGAAATCAGGAGGGCCTTTATTATCCCACATGATATATTGGCTAAGGTACTCGGGAAGCGGCTGGTAACAAAAAGACCCCAAAGTAAAGTCACTTAAATAAGGTAGAAGACTGTTTCTCTCTCACATCACAGCCCCAAGGTGAGTGCCCCAAGGTGAGTGCTCCAGTGGGACCACTGTCATCTCCAGGATGGGGCTTCCAAAGGGCTCCAGCTGCTGCTGTTTTTCAGCGAGTGAGAAGAGGGGAAGAGAGTGACCAAGGCAAACATCTTTGAGAAGATGATCCAGAATTTGCAATGGGATGTTCTGCTCACATCCCATCGGCCCGGACTCAGTCACATGGCCACACTCAGCTGCCCAAGGGTGCTTGGAAGTGTAGTCTGCAACTGCGGGGGCGGGGGGGCAGCACATGTCCAGCTAAAACTCAGTAGGTTCTATTACTAAAAGGATGACAGGAAGAATGGACACTAGAGGACCGTTAACAGTGCCTGCCACAAGCAACAAGGAGTCTGGTGGTAGGGTACCTCTAGGGTTGATTAATTCAGTAGCTCACCAACGTATTCATGTCTTCAGGGATCCAGTGTATTGACTTTTAGTCTCAGGCTGGTCCCCTCGTGGCCTCAAGATGGCTGCCAGCACTATAGCATCACACCCTTAGGCACTAATACAAAAAGGCAGAAAAGAGAATGTTCCTCCCTTGTGTCTATGAAAACTTTCTCAGAAGCCCCCTTCTCCAACTGACTTCCCCTAACTCTCCTTGGCCAGAATAGCATCATGTGTCCATTCCTGCTCCAATTACTAGCAAAGGCAGTGGAATGACCAGGATTGGCTTGGGTCGATTGAGAATAACCCCCCAGGGCATGTGATAGTTCTATGTCATTTTATTTATAAGAACTTAGAGGTAGGTCTGCAGCTGAGATGGCCTTGCAGAGCTGTCCTGAGCTGGGGCAAGGAGCTGGATCCTCACAGGTCACATTGATCAATCTCTGGATACAGGCTGTCTCTGGAAGAAGAAATGACCTTGGATGAGCCAGTTTCTTCAGCCCAGGCAAATGCTGCTCCCCTGGTGTTGCTGCCTCAGGAGCTTGAAGAAAGGATCCCACTGAGCCAGCCCCAGGCCTCTGAGGATGGGGTGACAGTCAGCTGGTGCCAGAGTCTCTGAGAGGGTGGGATGCAGAGTGTGGAAAAAAATCTAAAACTGGGACTAAGTGCCAATGCTGCCTGAAGAGCCCAGAAACAAACCCTTACACTTATGGTCAACTGATTTTTTTCTAAGACAATTCAATGGGGAAAAAATAGTTTTTTCAACATATGGTGCTAGAAAACTGGATATCCACATGCAAAGGAATGAAGTTGGACGCCCCTTCTCACACCATATATGAAAACCAATTCAAAATGTATCAAAGATCTCAATGTAAGAGCTAAAACCGTAAAACTCTTAGAAGAAAACAGAGGATTCATTCGTTACAATTTTGGATTAGGCGATGGTTTCTTAAACATGACACCAAAAGCACAAATAACTAAAGAAAAAAATAGTTAAATTGGACTTCATTAAAATTAAAATTGGGGGGGAATTCCCTGGCAGTCCAGTGGTTCGGGCTCTGCACTTTCACTGCCAAGGGCCAGGGTTCAACCTCTGGTCGGGGAACTAAAATCCCGCAGGCCGCACAGCGCAGCCAAAAAAAATAAAAAAACTTAAGTGTTTTTTTTAATGTTTCAAAGGACACCATCAAGAAAGTGAAAAGAGAACCCACAGAATGGAATCAATGATTTATCAATCGTATATCTGATAAGGGACTTAATACCTGGAATATATAAAGAATTCTTACAACAAAAAAATTTAAAAATGGACAGTGGATTTGAAAGGCATTTCTCCAGGAAAGATATACAATGACCAAAAAGCACATTAAAAGATGTTCAACAGGGCTTTCCTGGTGGCGCAGTGGTTGAGAGTCCGCCTGCAGATGCAGGGGATGCGGGTTCGTGCCCTGGTCCGGGAAGATCCCAAATGCCGCGGAGCGGCTGGGCCCGTGAGCCATGGCCGCTGAGCCTGCGCGTCCGGAGCCTGTGCTCCGCAACGGGAGAGGCCACAGCAGTGAGAGGCCCGCGTACCAACAAAAAAAAAAAAAAGATGTTCAACATCATTAATCACCAAAGCCACAGTGAGATACCACTTCACACCCACTAAGATGGCTATAATCAGAAAGACGGACAATGACAAGTGTCAGAGAGATGTCATACATTGCTGGGGGAACGTAAAAACGGTGCAGCGGCTTTGGAAAACAGTCTGTCAATTCCTCAAACAGCTAAGCATAGAGTTACCGCATGACCCAGAAATTCCCTTCCCAGTTATACACCCAAGAGAACTGAAAACACATATCCACGTAAAAATATGTACGTGAATGTTCATAGCAGTACTATTATTATAGCCAAAGGCTTTAACAACCCACATATCCATCAGCTGATGCATGGATAGATCCATACAATGGAATATTATGCAGCAATAAAAGGGAGTGGGGTACTGACACGTGCTACAACATGGGTGAACCTTGAAAACATGCTGAGTGAAAAAAGCCAGACAGAAAAAGCCACATATCATATGATTCCATTTATATGGAGTGTCCAGAACAGGCAAATCCATAGAGACAGAAACTAGATGAGTGGCTGCCAGGGGCTCAGGGAGGAGGGAATGGGAGTGACCGCTGATAGGAATGGCAGCTCTTTTTGGAATGATGGAAATGTTCTAAAATTAGTGATGACGGTTGCCTAATTCTGTGAATATACTAAAAAAAAATCACTGGGCAAATGTTATGGTGATAATAATATTATTTTAAATATATAATTTAGATTTTATATATTATATATATATTTACTTTAGTTATTTATTTTGGTCCCATGGATAAGGGGCCTAACACGGTCCCCTGGCAGTCCCAGCTTCCAATTCAGTGGAACCATTGTTCTGTCCACTGTTGGAAGCATTTCCCCTTGCAAGTTTCAGGAACAGGAAACAAAAATTCCATGAGTGATTACTGGGTGTAGTCATGGTTCCTCACTGTGTGTTCTGTTGCGGGATATGCTGGCCTCTGATTCAGCACATACGCTTTATCCTCTAAGTGAGGACCCCATTTTTCAGGTGTTGCCTCCCAACTAGGGACATACCTTGAGTCTTCAGTAGGTCACGCCCCATATTCTTGGACCAGCTGTTTCTGGGTGGTGAAGTACCTTAGAGACAATAGCTTAATAAAGGCTCACTCTGCCCTGGAGGATCCCTTGCTGGGTTGTGGCTGAAGTGTGCCCAGCTGTGCTCTCCAATGCTGCTGAGAAGGGCCCATGGCAGAGGAAGGGCAGGGGGAGCAGCAGCTTTGACCCCAGCTTGGTCTAAAGTCACGAGATGTGACGCTCACCCCACTCCCAGCTGAAATTTTCAGGAAGAGTTCATTTTACTGGAGTCTGGGAGGAAACGACAAGGATTGAATAGTGAAGGCTGAGAGAGAGATCATTTTACCACCAAGATCCTGCAAGATAATATTCAAAGTGAAAATAATGAGGACTTCCCTGGTGGTCCAGTAGCTAAGGCTCCGCGCTCCCAATGCAGGGGGCCCGGCTTCGATCCCTGGTCAGGGAACTAGATCCCACATACTGCAACTAAACATCCCACGTGCTGCAACTAAACATCCCGCATGCCGCAACTAAAGTTCTATAAAAAACGAAATAAATTAATTAAAAAGAAAAAAGAGGGCTTCCCTGGTGGCGCAGCGGTTGAGAATCTGCCTGCCAATGCAGGGGACACGGGTTCGAGCTCGGGTCCGGGAAGATCCCACATGCCGCGGAGCAACTAAGCCAGTGCGCCACAACTACTGAGCCTGCGCTCTAGAGCCCGCGAGCCACAACTACTGAGCCCACGCACCGCAACTACTGAAGCCTGCGCACCTAGAGCCCATGCTCCGCAACGAGAAGCCACCGCAACGAGAAGCCCACGCACCGCAAGAAGAGTAGCCCCCGCTCACTGCAACTAGAGAAAGCCCGCGTGCAGCAACAAAGACCCAATGCAGCCAAAAATAAATAAATAAATAATTTTTTAAAAAATGGTTGAAAGGATACATTTTATGTTATGTATATTTTACCACAACCAATTTTTTGTTTTTGCTTTGTCTTTTTTTTGGGCCACGCCACGCGGCATGCAAGATCTTAGTTCCCCGACCAGGGATGGAACCCGCGCCCCCTGCAATGGAAGCACAGATTCTTAACCACTGGACAGCCAGGGTAGTCCCCACAATTAATTTTTGTAAATCATAATAGAAAGGAGATGGGAAATGTGAGGCAAGTTCAGGAAGCACTATGGCGAAGTCAGTGGCTGAACTTGAAAGCCATGCAAAAGATGTGTGTCAAGTTTGTGCTTAAAAGATAGAAATCCCGGGCTTCCCTGGTGGCGCAGCGGTTGAGAGTCCGCCTGCCAATGCAGGGGACACGGGTTCGTGCCCCGGTCCGGGAAGATCCCACATGCCGTGGAGCGGCTGGGCCCGTGAGCCATGGCCGCTGAGCCTGTGCATCCGGAGCCTGTGCTCTGCAACGGGAGAGGCCACAACAGTGAGAGGCCCGCATACCGCAAAAAAAAAAGGATAGAAGTCCTGAACCTAAATTTCCTCAAATTTCAGGGAAATCGAAGCACCTCCTTATTTGCCTTTAGCAATCCACTGTTTTAATAGCAGCATGGAACTCTCTTATAACAAAACCTTTCTTGGTTTGAAAGAACACAGCTGACTCCAGTGAATAATTTTCTATTAAATGGAGGAGGGGTGATGATGATGACGATGGTGATGATTCATTTTCCAGCCCTTATTCTCAGCCAGGCACTCTCATAAGCACTTTATACATGTTAACTCATCTAATCCTCACACTCACCCTTTGAGGAAGGGTGTATATTGACCCCACTTTGCAAGATCTGGAAGCACCTTCTAAGTCAGGATAATTCATTTGTAGTCAATGCCATTTTTACATTGGTCTTTAACCAATTTCCACTTCCTCCATGTTTGGCTAGTCTGACTCCTGACAAGCCATGCCAGGTGTGCCCGTCCGATACAAGCACCCCATCAGAAAGAGGCCAGCATGGGGACTGTGCCCCTGGAAACAGCTACCTGGCTTCCCTGCCCTCAGACCTCTGTCCTCAGCCGATGCTGCCCTGTCACCCTCTCCTCCATTTCTGCCACTGCCTGAGCCTCGCCATGGCTAGGGCTCCAGGCTCCATGCCCTGGTAACCCCACCTCCCCTCTCACTTCTGATGTCATCTCCGGTAAGCCCTGGGCCTCCCCATTCTGTTCCCTGTCCCAGGAAAGTCTCTACATGCCCAAAAACCTCAGACAAGCCAAATATACCTGAATATTTCTTCACCAGGAAACTCCACATCCTAACCACGCTGGATAAAAAAGCTTTTTTTTTTTTTTTAAAATCAGAGTTCATAAAACCCCCAATGACTCTGCGATGTTTTGGTAGAGAAAAAAACAAACAAAAAGCAACATTTCACAAAATGGATTTCTGGCCATTGCAAAATGATGATAAACTGTCCCAACTTCCCAGAAAGACTGAAAGGAAGATTCATCTGCAATCAGCTTCTTACTTTCCATTTGGGTTTTAAATGCAGTCCCACCCCCAGTTTGATTACAGAAATTCAGAACTGAGATTGAGGGAGAATATTCACACGAAGAAGAAAAAGAGATGAGCATCCAACGCAGAGCCAAGAAACTGCTGGAAGCCCTCAGCCCAGCCCAACCCTTTCCCATCACAAAGCCACAGAATTTCAGGGCTGGGAGGAACTGTAGACCTACCGGCCCAGCTGTTACATCCCTGGATAAGCACTTGCCCTTCCATTTGGATTGTCTATAAATTACTGTACAATCTGAGAGGCGGAAACAAACACTGAAATTAACAATGACTTAAAGAAGGTAGAATTTTAGTTCTCTCTTAGGTAAGAGGCCAGAGGTGTGGGGGGGGGGCGGTCAGGGCTCAAGGATTTAGCTGCTCCCCAAAGTCATTCAAACACCTCAGGCTTCTGCTGCCCTGTCTGTCCCTCCACACTCAGCTTTCATCTCATGGTCCAAAGCAGTCGCTCCAGCTCCGGCCATTGCACCCATAGTCAGCCAGCAGACCTGACCCAGAGATCACTCCCATCACTTCTGTTCTGAAGGGGAGCTGGGGAAAAAAAAAAAAAAGCAGTTGTTATTTGGGAAGCCAGGTGCCCAGCTAAAATGTCTACTGCTACATAAGATAGAGAAATGGGTATTGGGGAGGGACTGGCCACGTCTGCCGCAGAGGGCTCCTAGGGGAAAATGCAAGTCATTCTGTGGCACAAATTTCCAGAATGAGTTGTGCTGAAACATAATGAATGTCACATTTTGTTTTATTTGGAACTCGCTAGCATCTTGGGCACAGTTCCACTTTGTTGTTAATGTGAAAATTGCATCTCAAGAAAAACTGTAATGACTAGTGGATTTTGCTGCTAGTTCAGAGGGTGGGCTCTGGAGGCAGACTGCTCAGGTTTGATTCTGGGCCCTCTTCCTACAAGCCAAATGGCTTTGGGCAAATTACCTACCTGTTTGTGACTCAGTTTACACATCTGTAAAATGGGGATGATCATTGTTCCTGCCTTACTTGACTGTTGTGAGATTGCATGTGGGCCAGCACCATACTGTGAGATTGCATGTGGGCCCAGCACCATACTGGGGACATAGGAAAAGCTTGATAAATGCTAGTTGTGGTAGTTAGTCTCCAAAGATGACTCCAAACAACCCCTACCCTCTCTGTACACATATGCCCCTCCTCCATCAAGATGTGGAGCTTACCTGTAACCCCTTGAGTCTGGGTTGGGACTAGGACCCAGTGGAAGTGACGGCCACTCTGGGCCTGACCTTTAAGGAAACAGGCAGCTTTCACTTCCTCCCTCTTGGAACCCAGATGCCATGCTGTGAGGAAGCCCAAGCAGCTGCATGGATAGGCCCACATGGAAGGCAACTAGGCTCCCAGCTCACCCACAGTCTCCACTGAGATCCCAGCCTTGTGAGTGAGCCATCTGGGAAGTGGATCTTCCAGGTAGTCAGCTATCCCAGCTGATGCCATGTGCAGCTGAGAGATGATCCTGCCGAGCCTATGCAATTGCAAACTGTGAGCAAAGAAATGACTGTTGTTTTAAGCTACTAAATTTGGGGGGGGGGTGTGTTTTATGCAGTGATAGATGACCAGAAGGCAATTTGATATGTAGAAGTAGGATGCTATTGAAATAAAAACTTTAGGGACTTCCCTGGTGGCGTAGTAGTTAAGAATCTGCCTGCCAACGCAGGGGACATAGGTTCGATCCCTGGTACGGGAAGATCCCACATGCCCTGGAGCAACTAAGCCCGTGCGCCACAACTACTGAGCCTGCACTCTAGAGCCCGAGAGCCACAACTACTGAGCCTGAATGCCACAACTACTGAAGCCTGTGCACCTAGAGCCCATGCTCCACAACAAGAGAAGCCACTGCAATGAGAAGCCCGCGCACCTCAATGAAGAGTAGCCCCTGCTCGCCACAACTAGAGAAAGCCCGTGTGCAGCAATGAAGACCCAATGCAGCCAAAATTAATTAATTAATTAATTAATTAATTTAATTAAATTAAAACTTTAAACGTGTGGCATTAGTTTGGGAACCAGATGGCAGGAAGGGCCTAGAGGAAACTGTGAAAGCTTAAAGAAGAGTGAGGAGAGTGCTATTGGATGATGAAGAAAATAGGACCCCAGTTATGTAGCTGAAGTGGGATAAAAGCAGACGCTTGTTTTAATCCCCTCCTATTCACCTCTTTGGTGAGAGAGGGATCCCCCACCTGAAGGTGGTGGGAATGGCTGAAAACACAACACCCAACACTGGACAGATGAGACAGCAATCTGTTTATGCATCATATATACTCACAGCCCAGGGAAAGAGGACACTGCACACCATGCAGACCCACACCTAACTTGCCCTCAGGAACAGTGTGAACAACCAGGGGCGGGAAAGCCAGGCTCTGTAGTATCAAGAGGGTGAGGTGCCTCTGGTTCCCATGGGCGGATGTGATGGGGTTTGTTGGTATAATTCCTCGGGCTGCCAGGGGGCTGAAACCCGCTTCACGGGGATAAGCAGGAATTGTACCAGGTCCGTGGGACAAGGTGGGTTGTTTAGCTAGGGGACCTTATCCACAGGAGCAGAGTTCCTGTGCAGGGACTTGCTGTCAGGCCATTTGAGGTTCTCCCAATTTCACCAGAAGTCAAGGCTGAACATAATACGGGGCCTAAATTTTAGTCTTTATACCACAATGCTTAGCAAAACCGGTGGCTGTGGTGATGTGAAAGATAGAAAAAGTGTCCAGTGACCATGTAGGTCTGGTTAAAGTGACTACCAGGCAGAATGTTGAAAATGCCCGGTATCCTCTTCAAACTATTATGTATTTCATTTCTTTAGGAATGAGGTTGTCAGGATGAACATTTTCAAAACAATCCTGGCTGTCTTTGAGCCGAGGACAGAGCCTGGCATGCTGCTTATCTGCCTTATTATTTGAACGAATGCATTCTGATGCCTCTGTCCTGCCACAGGTCCTGTGTCAGTTTCAGCAAGTTCTTCACCTGCAAATAGTCTGCTTCTGTGAACAGTTTATTTAAGCAGAGCAAGTGACCGGAGCAATAAGCAGGGCACCTGGGGAGCCGAGATGACCAAAAGGTACCAGAAGGTAGTTTTTCCCAGGGAAAGTTAATTTTTTCTGCTTCACCTGCCATAATATTGTTTCCCAGAGGAAACGGTCAGTGATGTCAAATAGGGGACGCAGAGGGCTCAGGGGCTGGTCGCTCTGAGGTTCCTCCAGGGAGCCAGTGGGCATGCAGGAAGTGGGCAGGTGAGGCTGCCACAGGTCCAGTTCACTATGCAGGTTTTCTCACCCACGTTTTCTTGTTTAAGTCACACACCCACCTTACTAAGTTGTCATAAACATTCCCATTTTAGAGATGAGGTTATTGAGGCTCAGAGAGGTCATCAAGATTTGAACTCCTGTCTCTCTGGGAATAAAACTCATGCTCTTCCAACGACACCAGGGAGTCCCAAGCTGTCTCCCAAAGACCCTGCCCTGTGACTACCCAGGGGGCCCACCAGAGTCCCCGATCTCAGATAGGGATGAAAACAGACTACGTGGCAGATCCCATCCTTTGCGTGTTACAGTGCACAAACCTGCAAAGCTCATCTGTGTCAACGAGCAGGGGGTGGGGTGTGGACACCCCCAGACCCCACTCGGACTTGGGCCAGACCCTCTCTTCACAGGGCACTTTTGCAGTGTCACTCATTCAACTATATCGTGGACTACCATGCACCAGTCCCTGCCTAGGGCCAGACCGCCTGGGCCTGAATCACATGCAGCTGTGTGATGCTGAGTAGGTGGCCTCAGTTTCCTCATCTGTGGAATGGTGGTAATACAGACACCTACCTCCCAGAGTGGTCGGAAGGAATGGATGATTTAAGGTGTATTGCACGGTGTCAGGCATATAGCAAGCACTCTCCTTTCATTATCATCATCATCATCATCTGATGAATAGATGAATGGAATTCATTGTAAAACTGTAAGATAGACAGGAAAGGCTATAATTAACCCCGTTTTATAGGTGAGAAAATTGAAGCTCAGAAGCATTAAAAAGGTTGCAGAGACAGAATGGGTACAATTATTCTTATTTTACAGATGAGGAAACTGAGGCTCAGGGAGATAAGTAACAAGTTCAAGGTCAAAGTCAGTGTCAAAGGCAGGCCTAAATGCTCTGGCCCAGGCTCCCCCTCTGGCCTCAGCCCTCAGGGGCTGCCCTCAGCCCCTCTTTGGAATTCTGTACTAACACAGCAGGATTTCACAGAGGGCACAGGTAGCCCTCGTCATCAATGGCCAAGAGGACAGGTGGCCTGAGATGGTGTAGGTCCTTCAGTAGCTTGTATCTTCCAGCCAAATCTGCCCGTGGCCTCACCCGTTCAGGTCTCACCTGCTCAGGTGCTGCAGGAAGTCCCCTGGAAGATGTTGGCTCAGGAACCCCCCTCCCCCTCTCCCACTGGGCTCAGCACCTGTGCCTGCCCAGGTGGATGGAGACAGGGGGGCTGGACTTGGAGACCCGCAGTACCTCACCCTCAGCTGGCTGGATCAGAGGGCCCTGGCGCTCTGCCTGAACTGCACCATTATTGCTTCCTTTGGGTTTAAGGTGGTATGTAGCCGGAACTTCCTCACGAAGCAGAAATTACCCTGAGGGGAGACAATTAAGAGTTCTTAAAGAAAGGGAGGGGCTGGGTGTGTTTCTCGATTTTTAGTGAAAGGAAGTAATTTGTTTTGAAGGGAGGGTAGTGGAAAGGGATGGAAGAAAGTTCCAGAGTGTGGAAGTTGGAGGGGGCGTTGACTGGCACTTATGAGAGGTTTGGGGGAGACTGCTGTTAAGAAGCGCTCACGTGGATTAAGCATGTTCTTTTGCTAGGCTCTGTCCTCAGCCCAGACCTGCGCGACCTCATTGAACCCGCCAGGTGGAGACGCCTAGCGTTGAGCCCTCCACACGGCCCGCCCCGCGGACGCCAACTCGGCCTCCATTCAAGCGCTTCATCCAACAACCTCTGGAGCCCCTGGGGCGCAGGAGAACTGGAGGGACAGGGCTAGAAATGCTGAGTGCAGCGGGGAATAAACCGGAGAAACGAAGGCGAGGGAAGGAGCTGGAGACACAGAGGATTATCGTGAGCGCTGGAGGCTCGGTGCTGCCGCCTTGAGGCTGCGCGGGGGACCCAGACGGAGGGCCCGGAGGCTCCAGGGGACACCCGCCGCCCCCCGGGGAGTCTGCGGGCGCCCTCGACCACAGCCACGGGGGTGGGGACGCAGGTCTCGGCAGGCGGACCCCCGACCCCTCACCAGAGCCCCGGCCGGCCTCTCCCACCCTGGGTTTTCGGCGCTCCCAGCATCCCCAGCTCTCCCACCTCCGGGCGCTTGTTCCAGCTGTGCCCTCTGCCTGAAACACTTCCTCCAAGCATTAAGCTCCTCGTCCTCCCAGGCCTCCCCAGGCAGCCCCCCTGGCCGTGAACCCCGCCCCTGGCCAGAATTTCTGCTCCTGCCTCCAGTTTCCCCGGAGCCCCACAGCCCTCGGGTACAGCGTCCTCTCCTCCCCACCGAGGGGTCCGCAGGGCTCCGATGGACAGACGCCGAATGAACTGGAATATCTGGAGCAGCGGAGACGCAGGGCGTGGTGGATAAGCGCCAGCGGACTCGCACACCCGCCTCCCAGGGCCGGCTACGTGGCTGAAGGGACAGCAGGACCTGGCGCGGGCGCAGGGAGCCTTTTCCTGGCCCGAGGGCGCCCCCTGGGGGCCGGAGCCTCCCAGCAGGTACGTTCCCTGGCTCGGCGCGCCCCCGCGTCTGATCCTCGACCCCCGGCGCCTCTGAGAGCCTCCCCCCACCTCTCCCCAGGGTCCTCCTGGTTTGGGAGGACCGACTGTATCGATAGATCTGTGAGTCAGAGGGTGCGCCTCCTCTATGAATACCCGCGCGACGAGAAGGAGCGGGCGGGAGGGCAGATCCGAATCAGCACCGACCCGGCCTTTCGCCCCGGACTCCCGCCCCGGACTCCCCCTCCTCTGGGTGACACGCGCACACTGTGCGCACACACGCACGCTCCGGGTGCACACGCTTGAGGCACGGCCTACCCCACACATGCGCTCACTTGTGCACACACTGACACACACGACACTCGCGTGCACACACGTAGACACACCGCCCTTTCTGTAAGTGTGGTCCACCCTTCTGCCCACCTCACCTCGCGGGGGTCATCACCAGATGGTGCTCCCCAGGCCTTGCCGCCCCCCCATCCCTCATGCTGCTCAGGTTAGTTGCAGGGCTGGGGCGGTATCCCCCAGCTTCCCAGAATCCCCGGGTGGTGCCCACCTTCCAGACCAGGCCCTTCAACTCCCCACTCATTCATGATCCACTCATGTGCCGGACCCCCCCACCCCACCCCGGAACAGAGTACGGGATAAGCTAGGCCTGTTGTGAGAGTGGTGTTGACAATGACTAGCGTGACTGCACCTTAACCCAGAGTGAGGAGCTGTGGTGGTGGAATTTTAGGTCATGGGACAGGCGGGCGGAGGGCTCTCAGCAGTCTCCCCCAGCCTCCTTATTGACTATTCATCATTCCCCCTCCTCAATTTGAGGTGCCACCTTTATACTTAGGTCTATTTCCGGACTCCAAAGGGTTCCATTGATGTCTACCCTGCATTGCACAGAACCAATTATTCTCGTATAAGGATAGCAATAGGACTTTCCGTGGGGTGGGGGCCTCCTCTCACGGCCTGCTTCCGCTTCTGTTTCCCTGTGTAGGGCAGGAAAACTTCCTGCTACCCTCTTAGGTTCTGTGGCTGAGAATTAACTGACATAAGACAGATTACCAGGAGAAAAGCATATAAACTTATTTAGTATCTTCAGGTGTACAACATGGGAGTCTTCAGAAGAAAAATGAAGACCCAAAGAAGCCATTGGGCCCCAAAGCTTATATACCTTTTTACATAAAGAAGACACTTCGTGGGGATGTGACAGGATGAAGGGGCTGGGGCCCGGGCAGTAAGTTGTAGGACAGTGGCAAGGAAATACGTGGGGAAAACTAATAGAAAATCAGGGGTATTTAATTAATTAATTAATTAATTATCTATTTAGCTGCACCAGGTCTTTGTTACCACCTGTGGGATCTAGTTCCCTGACCAGGGATTGAACCCCGGGCCCCCTGCATTGGGAGCGAGGAGTCTTAACCGCTGGACCACCAGGGAAGTCCCAATTGGGGTAATTTTAGCAGTTTGTACAGATCCCCTTCAGCATCGCCCCCCCAGTCTCTGGTGATAAGAATGTTCTCTTCCTGGTGCAGGGAGGGCACCTTTCTCTTGGGAAATGTATGACCTGCTTTTAGGTAGAAAGGGGAGGGCAGAGAGTCCCTCCTGCATCTTCTGTTTCTCAAGTACCTTCAGCTCAAAGTAATCAGTATTCCAAAGCAGCATATTCTGAGGTGGGATGTTCTGAACCCTTTTACCTGGAAGGGATTTTTTCCCAACACTTAGATCTCTGATGGTTACGTCACCATCAGAGCATTAGATTTGTTCAAATTGATGACCTAATGTTCATACACTATTATTTACAAAAGTCCACCATTTACATTAGAGTCCATGCTTGGTGTTGCGCGGTGCTATGAGCCTTGACAAATGTATAACGTCACAGATCCACCATTACGGTATCACACAGAATAATTTCACTGCTCTGAAAATCCACTGTGCTCCACCTATCCATCCTTCTCCCCACTCCCCCAGAACCCCAGGTGTTGATCTTTTTACTGTCTCTATAGTTTTGCCTTTTCCAGAATGTCATATAGTTGGAATCATATAGTATATAGCCTTTCCAGACTGGCCTCTTTAACTAATCAATAGCATTTAAAGCTACTCCGTGTCTTTTTATGGCTTGTTAGCTCATTTCTTTTTAGCACTGAATAATATTCTGTTGTATGGATGTATACTCCACTATCCATTCACCTAGGAAAGGACATCACTGTTGCTTTCAGGTTTGAGCAATTATGACTAAAACTGCTATAAACACCCACGTGCAGGTTTTTGTGTGGACATAAGTTTTCAAGTCAGTTGGGTAAATACCTAGGAGTGTGATTGCTGGATCCTATGGTAAGGTCGTGTTTAGCTTTGTGAGAAACCATCAAACTGTCTTCCAAAGTGGCTGTTTTGCATTTCCCCCAGCAGTGAATGAGAGTTGCTGTTGTTCCACCTCCACGTCGGTATGTGGAGTTTTGTTTGTTGTTTGTTTGTTTTTCAGTTTTTTGGGTTTTAGCTGTTTGGATTTTAACAGGTCTGTAGTGGTATCTCACTGTTGTTTTAATTTACAATTGCTGAATGTATATGACATTGGCCATCTTTTCCTGTGCTTATGAGCCATCTGTGTATCTTCTTTGGTGAGGTGTCTGTTTGGATCTTCTGCCTGTTTTAAACTGGGTTTTCTTATTGCTGAGTTAGAAGAGTTCTTTGTGTATTTTGGATACAAGTTCTTTATCAGATATGTGTTTTTAAAAGTATTTTCTCACAGTCTGTGACTTGTCTTTTCATTCTATTGAGTTCTACTTTAAAAAGCCCATTGTTGGGCTTCCTTGGTGGCGCAGTGGTTGGGAGTCCGCCTGCCGATGCAGGGGACACGGGTTCGTGCCCCGGTCCGGGAAGATCCCACATGCCGCGGAGCGGCTGGGCCCATGAGCCATGGCCCTAAAACCCTAATCCCTACTCCTGCAAGTGTTGTAATGAAGATCAAATGGTGTGGTCTTTATAAAGCCCTTGGAACAGGGCCTGGAATATAATATATGTTCAATTACCTTAGATAATTATAATAACAAGCATTATCTCTTTTAATAGCTAATGGAGTCAGTCCTTCGTCATTACTCTTCCTTTTCAGAATTTTCCTACAGCTATTCTCACACATTTACTCTTCTAGATGAATCGTTTGATTAATTTTTAAATATCCTGTTCGAATTTTATTAAATGAATAAGTAATTTAGAAAAAATGGACATTTTAATGACACTGGGTTATTTATTTAGGCTGCGTTGGGTCTTCGTTGCTGCATGCGGGCTTTCTCTAGTTGCGGCAAGCGGGGAATACTTTTCATTGCGGTGCGTGGGCTTCTCATTGCAGTGGCTTCTCTTGTTGCAGAGCACGGGCTCTAGGCATGCGGGCTTCAGTAGTTGTGGCTCATGGGCTCTAGGCGTGTGGGCTCAGTAGTTGTGGCGCATGGGCTTAGTTGCTCTGCGGCATGTGGGGTCTTGCCGGACCAGGGCTCGAACCCATGTCCCCTGTATTGGCAGGTGGATTCTTAACCACTACGCCACCAGGGAAGTCCCTAAAGCCTGTCTTTTAATTTAAGTCTTTATACCCCTTTCTTCACATAGAACGTACACGATCCTTGCTAAAGGGTGTTTTCTTAAATGCCATGATGAATGAGGTCTTTTCTTCAGAGACATTCTAATCAATTACTATATATTTATAAATAGACAATTGATTTTTTTCCATTTTTTTAAGTTCTTTTTGACAATTGATTGTTTTAATAGACTATATTTTGGAGCAGTTTTAGGTTCACAGCAAAACTGAGTGGAAAGGTACAGAGATTTCCCATATACCCCCTGTGCCACACGTGCACAGCCTGTCCCATATCAATGTTCCCTGCCAGAGTGGTACATTTATGACAATTGATGAAGCTACACTGACACATCATTGTCACCCAAAGTCCATTAGGGTTCATTCTAGGTGTACATTGCATGGGTTTGGACAAATGTGTAATGACATGTGTCCACCATTATAATCTCACACAGAGTAGTTTCACTTGATTTTTAAGTATTAATTTTTTCTAATCTCCTTAAAGTTTCTAATAGTTTTTCTAATTGATTCTCTTAGCTTTTCCAGGTAATAATCTAAACACAGTGAAATTTGGC